GGCGTGCAGATACTGCTGCCATAGCCGCGGAGCTTGCTTAATCTCGTAGAGCGACTTCAGCAGTTGACAGACCTGATTCGGCTCCCCGTTGGTACCGTGCGGTAGTTCCACGAAAATTTCTGCGTCAACGGGTGCGTAGAGGAAGGCGTTCGCGACATCGATTTGCCGTAGCTTCTTTTTCTTCATGGCGGCGATCGCGAGAAGGATTCGGAGCGAAGTGTGTCGGCTGACCGGAGCGAAGGTTTCGGTGAAGTCTCGCCCGTGTTCTTGGTCGAAGCCACGCACGACCCATCGTGCCTTAAATTTGTCAATTGTGCCGTCGGCCTTCGTCTTCACGCGAAAAACCCATTTCCCGGTGAGAATGGTCTTGTTTCGTGCTACGCCGATGGGAACTACTTTCCACGTGTTGCGTTCCTCCAGTGCCTTCAGTTCCTTGTCCATGGCTTCGCACCATTTTTCTTTATGCTCCCCCCCCAGAGCCTGCTGAACTGTCGCAGGCTCCTTAGGAATGGCGGCGCTGTGGACTGCGGTGACGAGTCCAAGTATCTGGAGTCCACTCTGTGTGTAGCGGGGGAGAGTGGTGTCCTCGGGATAAACTGCTTCGTCTCCCGCTTCTGGATCAGGTACGAAATTTGGTCCTATGCGTTCTGCTTCGTCGGTGTTGACTTGTGCAGCGTAACCGTTGTCAGCGAAGTGGTAGTAAGTTTCGGCGTTGATGCTTTCGCGTGGATTTTCGTCATCCATTGGGACATCGACGGAGCAGTACGGGAGGGGTCCGGCTTCTTCCGAGGCTCCTTCCACGTTCTGCTCGTCCCAGTCAGCTTCGTCTTCTGCCGAAGCGAAGGCACGGGTGCCATTGAATCCGCCCGAGGGATCAGGTCGGTTTGCTGCCACGTACGCAAGGTGAACGTCGAGGGTGAGGTTCTCGTAGAAGAGGACATCACGTGCTGCGACTGCTTCCTTGCTGTTGATGTCGAAGATTTTCCATGCATTGTAGTGTTTTTCGATGCCCAGGTGTAGTCCCCACTGTGCTCGCTGGGAGAATCGACCGGCGCGTGCAGATGGGGGTCGGTACTGTACCATGCAGCCGAAAACTCTCAACATTTTTGTGTTGCCCAATTTTCCTGTCCACAGCAGGTGCGGTGATGCGTTGTTCGGGAGCGATGATGACGAAAGCAAGTTGTGCAGCATGACGGCGTGGTCCATTGCTTCGGGCCATTGGTGGTTGGGCAGGTGCATGCCACGTAGCAGCTTGCGCATGGTGGCTTGGAGTGTCCTGTTCATCCTTTCTGCTACGCCTTGTTGTTGATGAGCGTAGGGAAGGGAAATGAGCCGCTTGATCCCCCTTTCTGCCAAGTAGTCCTTGAACCTCTGTGAGGTGTATTCTCCTCCCCCGTCTGACTGGAAACTCTTTAGTTTTACGCCCGATTCTCTTTCTGCTGCAGGAAGCCACGCGACGAACGCTTCGAACGCCATGTCTTTGCTTGGAAGATTCAGGTGCCAAACGTAACGTGTCGCGGCGTCGATGAACGTGATGGTGTAGTTGTACGCGTTCTGCCCCGGTTCGCGATTGTACAGGATGTCACTGTACACCTTCTCGAGTGGTGCGTAGGCTGGTGCGCTTGGATTGTGGTGAGACACAAACGGTTGATGTGATAAATCTGCTTCGGGACAGGTGAAGCATGTTCCTCGAGCTCGCTGAAGTTCTCTGCCGTTGATCAGTAGAAGTGAGTCTTTGTCGAGCACTCCTGCTCTTATTGTGTTGTTTAACACCGTGTGGCTTGGATGTCCCATCCTTGCGTGCCAGGTTCCTTCGGTGGCGCGGTGTCCGGGCGAGCGTCGGTACATGTCGGAGTTGGAGTAGAAGCCGGTGGTGACGTTCGCGCTTCGGTGGACTTCTCGTCGTGTCGGGTTGAGCTGTTGCGCGGATGTCGGTGGTGTGTCGCCGAGGAGTGGTGCCGTTGAAGGACCAGCGACTGGTGTTGAAGTTCCTGCTGTTGCCGTTGATGTTCCTGCTGCTGCCGTTGTTGTCTCTGCTGCTGCCGACGTTGTCTCTGCTGCTGCCGACGTTGTCTCTGCTGTTGCTGATGTTGTCTCTGCTGCTGCCGATGTTGTCTCTGCTGCATGTTGAATTGTCGCTAACGCTCTTGTCCTTTCTGTCTCAGGGATGGTGTGTGAGTACCAGAAACCGCCAGGACTGAAGTCTGGATCAAGATCTGGAGGGTGTGTCCAGTTGGTGAAGTTAACGATGGCGTCGCTGTCGGCGGTGCCGAGATCAGGAACGAAGTCGAGAACGAAGACGTTGTTCTTGAGGACCGCCTTGCCGATGTAAAGGCCTCCTCTCCCGTGGTACAACTTGAATTCTGGGTGGTACTGTCTGCTTCAAGATGGATCCCCTTCGCCATCAACTGACTGACGCTCAGTAGGTTGTAGCCGAGGCCTTCTGCGATTAGGACTTTGGACATCTGTAAAATGACATTTGTTTCTCGTGACTGAAGTTGAACAACTCCTTGTCGTCGTGTGCGCAGGTTCTGATTGTTGGCGACGGTGATGACGACTTCTCGTTGGAGTTGGTACTCTCGCTGCACGAAGCGTCCTGAAGAACACATGTGCTGTCCGCAGCAACTGTCCAAGAATCACGTGTCTTTCCCGGATGGTTCGCTCTGGGCGATAGCTGCGTATGTCGGATTCGGCTCCAGTGTCTCACGGCGTGGAGTTCTTTCATCAAGTTGTTCTTCTGGTGAGTAGTATGGTGGTGATCCCGTGATGCAAGAGTCGCTCAGCCTTGCCATGCAGCTGACGATGTTTCTTGCTCCTTGTGCAGGTTGTCCCGTTGAAGTCGTTGAGGCTTGAATCTGGGTCGAAGGATTTGTTTGTGTCGAAGCGACTTGATTGCTTGAAGGTCGAAGTTGTCGCTGTGGCGTTGTTGATTGTTGTCGATTCGGGCAGTGTGTGCGCGGATGTCCTGAAGTTTTGCAGATGTGGCAGAACGGAGGTACGGGCTTCGGCTGTTGCTGCCGGTTGTTGTTGTTGTTGTAGCGTCGTTGAGTGTGGAACGCGAATTCCGGTGCTGATGTCTTCCTTTTATGTCGTTCTTCTTGCAGGTCCATGTCTTGCTGTTCGGCGTGGATTTCGGCGCAGAGCGCTGCTTCGGAGATTCTTCCGTGGGCTCGGAGTATGGCCTTTGTGGCGCGCCATTGAGGACCGAGGCCGCCGATGATAACTGTCACGAAGGCGTCTTCAGAAATCGATCCTCCGCATCGAAGAAGCTTGTCGCGCAGTTCGCGACAGCGGCTGATATATGCCATCCCCTTTTCTCCCGGTTTCATTTCAACTGTTGTCAGTTGCGCCATTAACCGACTTTGACTTACGCTGTCTGTTGCTTGATACAGGCTCTTCAGGTGGTTGTACGCGAGCTCCGCGGAGTTGCCGTAACCCCGGTAAGATCGTATGTTCTGCTGTTGAGTCGGGGTGATGTTTCTCAGTAGAATCGTGTACGCCATCATTGACTGATAGGTGTACTGCTGCTTCTCGTACTGTGTGCCGTTTGTTGGGTATGGCAGGGACCCGTCGAAGAAGCCAAGTATCTGCGCGCCTTCCATCATCAGCTCGAATTCAAACGACCAGGTAAAAAATTCCTTTCCATCGAAGGGTCTTGACGTCTGCATCTTCAGAACGTGTGCGAACTGCGACTGAACTTGTAATGCGTCCAGTGATTTTTCTTGTCCAGGTGAGGGCTGCGGGTGAGGCATGAAGCTGATGGACCCGCGCTCGTACGGAGCAAAGGTAGGCTGCTGCTGTTGATTTCCTCGTGCATATGATGAGCCGTCTAGACTCATGGGTGTTGCTCCGTTGTTGTTGCTGTTGTGTGACTGCGCAGGTGCCGATTGCTGGTATTGCTCGTAGAAGGACATGAAGGAGAAGAACTTCTCCATCATACTCTAGTCGAAGTCTGCGGGCTGATTCGCGGGGAGTCTCGGTAGATGTTGCTCTGGGTCTTGTTGCCGTGCCCTCCTCTGTCTGTAGGCCAGAGGCAGGAGGTGGAGTGGGAGTAGTGCCCTGGGAGCCGTTGGAGTTGCTCCTTTCCTTTTGTGTAGCCATGTCAGTTGATGTTGACGATATAGAAGTTGAATTTCCCCTGATTGCTCTCATACCATGTTGGGCTAAGAAAAGCCCTTAGGATCTTTGCAGGGGTGAAATCTGAGTAGGGTTGATGTAATAGCGGAAGCGTTAATTAAAGAGTAGTGAACCACCTTGCGCTAGTATGTGAGGGCAAAGTAAGTTGATTGAAACAAAGAGATACAATAATATATATAAGAGTACAAGGTATACGAAGGGGTACGGTTGTAACTACTTTACTGTTGCTGTTGCGGTTCGATACAGTGACGACTCGGGCAACTGCTCTGTAGCGAGTCAGTTGTGTGTCCTTGCTGTCGCGCTGTATTCGTCAGGTCAAAGGTCGCTGACCTTTGATTTCCCGTAACCTTCAGCGGTTACTTCAACCTCCGAGGGTTGACTCGCCGGTGCTTCGATATGCTCTGCCTCATTTATGCCTTAGTGTTTCGACACGACAGAGGCGCTTAAGACCGATTGTTTCCAACAGCGCACACTTGCAGTCTACCGTATATTGTACAGTCAGGTCAGGACAAAGTGGAAATCCACTTGTGGATCTCCAGGGGAGCCAACCCCACTTCGTTGACCACTACTGGGCAAAATATATATCATGCCTACTGTTAAAGCCAGCATTTAAAATAGTGACCCCCCCCTTCTAGTTGGGTCCACTTGAAAACATAAGTTTATTTGGAACGCTTCGTAAAGTTGGAAGTGCTGTGCTTTTATAAAATTTTCACTAGAGACGAGTCTCGGTGTGAACAAGAACATTTGGAACATATGTACAATTCTGATTGGAAGCGAAACTCACACACAACTCACACATACTTGTATGCGATTTTGGCGCAAGGCTGCAATGCCTGTATGCACCTTGAGCAGTGATCGTAACTTCAAAACATCACATCAATCAACCACCAGGCAAAATCCAGCGCACACACACATGCAGGAGATGAGAGTGGAGGTGGGCCGATGACCTGGCAGATCTGCGAGAAAAGGCGGATGAGAGTGGAGGTGGGCCTGTATTTGAGAGGCTGAAAGAGGTTATAAAATAGTGAGTCGAAGAACGAGGGGAAAAAATAAGTTGGACAAGGTATCACGAAAGGATAGTACGATTGAGATGGGGAGAGAGAGAAGAACAACGGGTTGGGGGGGGAGGAGGCGAACGACGAGATGGGAGGGGAGAGGAGGAACGTGAGCGCGATGCCGACGGGCGGGAGAGCGCGCAGGCGACGGGACGTGAGAGCGTGAAGGCGACGGGTGGGAGAAGGCGAAGGCGACAACAGGGAGAGCGCGTAGGCGACGGGAGAGAGAGGACGAAGGGGACAAGAGGGAGAGCGCGCATGCGACGGGAGGGAGAGGAGACATGCGACAATAGGGAGAGCGCGAAGGCGATGACTGCATCGAGGGTGACGGGAGGGGAGGGGAGAAAAGGAGGTCGATAGGAAGGGAGGGTTTAGAGAGAGGGTGACGAGAGGGAAGGGAAGCGGAGACTGCGAAGGCGACGAGAGGGAGGGGAGAGAGCAAGGGAGACGGGGGGGGAAGGGTAGAGAGACAGGGCGAAGACAAGATAATAGGCTTTGAAAGCGATGTCAGCGACGAGATGGGACTCTTAGGGGAGAGAGGAAAAACGTCGGGAGGGGAGAAGTGAGAGAGAAAACGACAAGAGGGGAGCGGATAGAGGAAGAACGACGGGCGGGGAAGGGAGAGAGCGCGGAGGCGACGGAAGAGAGAGTGCGGAGGCAACGGGAAAGAGAGCGCGGAGGCGACAGGAGTGAGAGCGCGAAGGCGACGGGAGTGAGAGCGCGAAGGCGACGAGAAAGAGAGCGCGGAAGGCGACGGGAGAGAGAGCGCGGAAGGCGACGGGAGAGCGAAGGCGGCGGGAGATAGGATAAGCGACGGGAGAGAGGAGGGCGACGGGAGAGAGGAGGGCGACGGGAGAGAGGAGGGCGACGGGAGAAAGGAAGGCGGCAGGAGAGGGATAGGCGAAGCGCGAGAGAGGAAGGCGACCGGGAAAAATGTAGAGCGACTAGAGGGCGATATACCGAGAGCGCGACGGCTGGAAAAATGTATACTATAAAAATCATCGTTTATTACATTACGCACGCGAGCTAAGTCGATACTTCGTGCCTGGGCCAGAAACATCTAGGCTCTATCAGCTTTACTACTACAAAACACTAGTGTCTTCGGGAAACACTAGTGTCTTCGGGACTGGAAGAGGGCTAGTCATTCACCCAGTTCCAACTTGAAGTGGAAGTTGGGCCTGGCGATGGAAACGATCGCATGGCAACGGTTGTGCGGGGAGCAGCGTGTAAAAATGCGACGGCTAACTTGGGCCTCGAAAATCGTTTTGGCGGGAGGGGCAATTTTCAGATTGGTTTGAGCCAATCAGATGAGTTCAACCTGCCAACACGGTTCGTTTGGAACAGTGTTGTATCACCCGAACTATTCGCAGCGATTTCAAGTTGGGTCTGCCTTCACTATTTTATACTCTCGTTTTAAACGGAAAAAAGAAAGAAGCGAGCGACAACGGTATAAAAGCACCGTAGACTCTCATACGGTAGGTGCACGTCGCACGACCTGGTGCCCATTACTCAACTCCACTCCCTCGCCCTCCCCCTTCCTTTCCCATCTTCCACCCCCCAGCCCACCTGTTCTCCCCCATCCTCCCCATACCCTCCCCTCCCCTGGCCTTCCCAGCCCTCACTGCTCAGCTTCAACTCCAGCAACAACCCTCCATCTCAGCATCAGGAGCATCTCCACTGACCCTAAGCACACTGACCCTCCACAACCGGTGGTTCTGGGCCGCTCGATTCCTCCGGATCCACCATCTCGAAAACAGAGCCGTCGATCTCATCACAGGGAGCAGTCGAGCCTCTCTGAAGCTGCCGCGGCTGGTGCTGCCAAGCAGCCATTATCTTCCCTCCAAAAAGCTCCACCTGCTCTTCATTGTCCCCACCCTCCTCCTCCTCCTCCCCGCACCTCCGTTCTTTGTAAGATGAGTAGGAGGGAGCTCCTGAGAGTCCGCTGAATTGGCGCAGTGCCACACGCCCACTGAGTTGCCTTAACTCCGGCAGCGGTTTCAATTTCTGAGCTGCTGCCACTGTGACTCCCCTTCTCCCCAAACCTGGGCCAGCACGGGTAGCGGTCCCAGTTTCTGAAAAATACTTCATTTCGGTGTTGTTTTCCTGAGCGGGTGCATCTACACCACTGAGAGACGCAGCTGCTTGCAGCAGGGACGGCTGTAGCGCGAACGCTTGTAGCGGGGACGTCTGTAGCGGGGACGAGCCAACCCGCCCCACTACCCGTCCGCCCCCTCGCCTCCTGTTCGCCCCGCTTATCCCCGCTCCCGCGCTCTCGCTGCTGCCGTGCGCGGACGAAGCGGACATGGCGCGCGGGAACATGCTCCGCGCGGCTCTTTGTCTCGGCGTCATCGCCCCGCCCCCACCAAACCCGGAGCTCGAAATCCCACCAGCGGGAGAGGATGGCGGAGAGGCAGCGGGTGCGCCCGCGCTATGCGCAGCCGCGGATGCGGAACGGGCAGCAGCGGGTCCGCCTGCGCTGGCGGAATGGGACGCAGTCGGCGCCTTCCCCCCGCCGCCGCGGGGCCCCCCAGCCCCTGAGCGCGGATGTCCGCTCGTGGGGAAGGGGGAGGGGGCACCCGCGGGTGCGCTTTGGGAATGGGGGAAAGCAGCGATAGGTAATGCAAGAGCAGCAGATCTAGCAGCACCGCCATCAGAAGCAGCAGGAGCAGCAGCAGCTGCAGCAGCAGAGGTAGAAGCAGCAGCACCACCGGCATCAACGGCATCGGTACTACCAGCAGCACCACCAGCAATGGACACGATATCCGTACTAGCTTCCGACAAGCTCAGTCTTGTCGCGAATTCAGGCTTCTGATTTCTCTCCGGGTTACCAGACGATGCGTTCGTGAAGGACCTTCGCCGAGCCCTGTTCGCCCTGGGAGTGGCGAGGCACGGGTAACTTTCGCCACTGCTGCTGCGAGAAGAGATCACAGGCGGCAGCCATGGCAGACGAGCTGAGTCGGCTCCTTGGACGTCGTCCTTGTCCGTTACATAGTCTCCGCTACTAAAACTCAATTTCAAGCGATTGCCGCTGCTCGTGCTACCGCTAGCAGGCGAAGGATCTGACGTCATTGCTGTTGCGACGACACTGCGACTGTTACCGCTGTCGCACAAGTCGCCTTTTATCGTTCCCCAGCCAAAGCCTTCCGCCATAATGCCGTGCGCGCCAGCCGCGAGCGCCCAGCTTGATCGTCTGGAGGCGGACGCTGCAGCGCCGGAAGCGGCATTTCGCGGAGAAGGAGCGCCGAATGCCGGGGGGACTGGGGGAGCGGCGAGCGCAGAGCAGATTTGCTCCTCGCTGAGCCACGCGGGACGCGATACGGAAGAGGCTCGACGGTGCTTCGACGCGCTGCGGCGCGCTGGAGGATGAACAGGCTTTGCGAAGGAATCTCCTTCAATGATACGGCATTCGCCACTATTTTCGCTGGCGTCGCCTTCGCGTTGCCTGCGAAATGGAAAATGCTGCGTCGCCGGTCTTCGCATGCTCTTCGTGAGGCTGAGTTGAATGACACGCATCGGCAGCGTTCGTGGCCGGAACCGGATTGCCGTCGCCTGGAATTTGTAGCCGAGCGACATTGGGCCGTTTCATGGAAAGGGAACCTAACGACGACATAAGGACGGCAGGTGGTGAAAGATGATACTTGTAAGCTCAATGTGCGTGAAACAAAAGAGGAGCAGAGGTTGCTGAGGGAAAGCTCAGAAATCAACTATTGCTCGGTGAAACATTGGTCATAAGAGTAAGCGACGTCACGAGAATCCTGGACTGGACGCTGCTTCACAGTGCAAAACTTATGACTAAGAAATCGCGGAAAATGGGAGATCTGTGAATGTGGAGTATTGGAAATGGAAAGCTTTCTATGGCATGGAAGAAGAGCTGCTTGACGAAGGAGCTAGATCTGGGTAAATACCCCTAAGACTGAAGCAGCGGCCTGGAAATGTTGATCAGGAAACGACGGAAAATGCCCCAGAAATATGACACCTGTTGAAGGATGTTTCCCGCAACTGGGATGAATCTGCCCGTCAAAGCTCGTCGAAAGCCCGTCAATTCACAAATCGCCCACAGGCAGGGCAGCCCATGCCAGCTCTACAGTTCACCCACTCGCCACTCGCAATTGCCGTCCATCCACCCCAGCCAGGAATGCCAGGTCAAGAATGTACAGTTCTTCGACTCAGGAAACGGCAGCCAATATGATTGGTGGAGAAAATGTTCAGCAACAACTTGTAGTTCATTAAATAGGGCTACGTGAAACAGAAAAAAAAATAAAATAAAAATGTGGGGGAAACAGCAGCAAGTGCTGAAGGTAAAAAATGATACCACCCTGGTAATTTCTTAACCTACAAATGTCGCTCAGCACATCACATATACCGTAATACGGTATTACCTACTTCTGGCTCTCTAAACCTACAAAGAAAGAACTGTAACTGGTGATAGAAGGCACATTTTCCTTTCTCATGGAGCCTCCTCCTCCCCCCCTTGCCTTGGCTTGCTGCTGCCACAACAATGCGCCAGGGCTCTTTGCAAACAAGCGCACACCCAAACTCATGACGTCCCGTGGCAGCTGCTTTGGAAAGTGTGGTCCACTCGTCGGCACCTGAAACGAGTCACACATTAAAGAGCATAGGTGGGTGCACTGAATAATAAACAATCACGTATGAATAAAGTCGGACATAAGAAAAGAAATAGCAGGAGGTCGTGATGGCAGGAGACTGAACAGGTGGGGGGGGGGGGGGGGGGGGGGGGGGAGGGGGAATGGTCGGAGTGGAAGTGGTCGATTGCTCTGAGAACCAATGATTCGCTACAAGGCGATTGCATGAAATGCAGGTAATTCATTACATGCATCTCAAAAGAAAAAGTACATCAGAAGGGCTTACAAAGCAGGCAATGGAGGTTGGATTGCGAAGCACACTCGGAGGAACCCAGCCACGTGTCGCCGAGCCTGCTGCAGCCCCATTCCGAGCCTGAGTGCCTTCTCTAGGCTCGGCAGCATCCGAGGCCAAAGCAGGCTCGGGAATCCCACTAATTTCCCGAAGCTCCCTCAACTCCTTGAGAAATCTCTTCTGAACACGACAAAGGGGAAAACGAGAGAGAGTAAAAACTCATCAAAATGCGTAAGGCAAATGGTGTTTAATGCTCTATAGGGGCCTGGTATTAACGACTTTCAAGAGGGACAAGCAGTGGAAGGAACACCACCGCATGCTGAGGAGATCAAGATATGAAGGCTTGGCATTAGCATTCCACACTGCTTGCACGAGCAATGCTCCTGTCGATACACCAAAATGCTCGACGGCGCTGTCGATACACTGCTTGCATGAGCAATGCTCCTGTTGACGCGCCGGAATACTCCACGGCGCTCTTGCAGGTTTTTCTACAGGCCCTGCCACCACACGAGGTGACTTTTGAGTTGACTAAAAAGTCTCCTGTCCACGCAACGGAATGCTCGACGGCGCTTTTGCAGTTTTTTGTACTGTCCCTTCCACCATGCGGTTACCATCACCACCACTCTAGTTTGGAGACGTCTCACAACTATAATGCCCATATCGACTCACCGGAATGCTCGACGGGGCTTTCGAAGGTTTTTCTACTGTCCCTTCCACCATGCGGTTACCACCACCACCAACGTTCCCCTCCTCCCTTTGCGCCTCCTCCCCTTCACCCTCCTCCTCACCCTCTTCATCCTTCTCCCCTGCCTCTCTCCCAACTCCTCCTGACCCACCTCCTGCTCCTTCTCCCGCCTTCCCTTTGCCGCCCTCCTCCTGACCCTTCCCCGAGCCTGGACCTCCCGAACCCGCTCCCCCGTCTTCCTGATTCTCTTGAGCAGCATCATCGTCCGCGTCATCATCCACGTCATCCTCCTCCTCATCCACGTCAGCAGCCTGCAACTCCTCCCCCTCCTCCTGAACCCCCTCCTCCTCCTCATCCTCCCCTTCATCCTCAACATCCTCAGTCCCCCCATTCCCCTCCTCCTGAACCTCCTGAGTGTCTTGAATCTCTTGAATCTGAGAGCTCCCATATCCCTCCAGGTCAACTACCTGGCTGTAACTTGCTCTCCCACCTCCTCCCTCCCTCCTCCCCTTCTCCTCCACCACCACCACCTCCTCCCCACCGTCGGAGCTCCTCCTCTTCCCCCTCACTTCCATCACCTCCTCCTCCTCCTCCTCCTCCCCCCCTTCTCTATCCCTCATTTCAGTCACATCCTCTCCGCTCCCTTCTCCTGCCAGCTCAACAGAGGGCGTGGACACGTCAGCAGCAGCCCCACTATCCAGAATCACTGGTTCTGCATCGTCAGCTTCGTCCAATGCCACGTCAGGATTATCAGATGCCAGCTCAGCACCATCCTCGTCATCAGAATCTGTATCCAGCTCAGTAGCCTCGTCACTAGTAGCTGCAGCATCACCAGGTGTGGTTGCAGCTGTAGCAGCAGCGATGGCACCAGTTGTAGCACCAGCAGCAACACCAGCTGTTTCACCCTCCTCCTCCTCCTCATCCTCCTCCTCCTCCTCCTCCCCCTCCTCATCTGTTTCACCCTCCTCCTCCTCTTCTCTCTCACCTTCTTGCTGCTCTAAACCCCTCTTTTTCTCCTCTCCCTTTCCTCCTCCTCCCTTCTCTTTCCCCAAACCCCCACCTTCACCCCTTTCTGCATCTGCATCATCCCTCTCTTCTCCCTCTCGCTCTTGTCTCGCCTTTTCCTCCTCCTCCCACTCCTCCCGATCGCCGTCCCGCTCTCTACTCTGACCTTTCCCTCTCCGCTGCGACATACCTTCCGCGGCCCTTTTCTCCTGCTCCTTCCTCTCCTGCTCCGCACCCTCCTCCTCGCTCTCATTATCCCCTCCCTCCGACTCAGTTGCCTCTTCAGAATCCGTCTCTGCATCTGCTCGCTTCTCTCCATCTCTCCCCCCATCCGCACGCCTATCCCTGTCTTCACCCCCATATGCACGCCTATTTTCGTCTCCCCCTGAATCCGCACCTTCACTCCCATCTGTTTCCGTATCTGAAGGAGTGGTGGTGCCATCGCCCCCCTCCTTAGTCTCTTGTTCAATAAGCTTTAAGCCCCTAACCTTCCTTCCCCTCCTCTCTCCCTTTCCCCCCCTCTCTTCCTCCTCCCTCTCCCCTTCTTCACTCTCCTCCTCCACCTTCGCCCTCCTCCTCCTCTTCTCCTCCTGCTCCCCTTCCTCCTCGTCTCCCCCTCTCATCCGCCTCCTCCTCCCCTCACTCCTCCTCACCCCATCCCCATCTTCCCCCCGTCCCTCCTCATCCCCTTCGCCCTTCTCGTCCTCTTCCTCTTCCTCCTCCTCCCTCCTCCTCTCTCGTTCCTCCTCTCTAACCCTCTCCTCTTCCTCCTCCCTTCTCCTCTCCTCCTCCATCTCCTTCCGCTTCTGCAACTCCCGCTCCCTCCTCTCTTTCCTCCGCCACTGGTCCAGCTCCTTCTTGGAGATTTCCCTCCCAAACTCCAAGGTGCGCCTCTCCTTCCGTCGAATGCCCTCACACACAACGCACGGGCACCCCTCTCTGTGAGACTGCGTGCCTCTGTGCGTTAGAAATCAAAGAGACACGGGCACAATCGTAAGGAGTGGAAGCGTGAGGATGAGAGAAAAAACCCGCCTTGCATAAAATCCCCTCACACACAACGTACGGGCACCCCTCTCTGCGAGACTGTGTGCCGCTGTAAGAATGTTACGGGAGGGAAACGAGAAAGCGGAAACATTATGGGGAGTGGGTGTGACAGCAAAACCCCTCGGGTCAACTGAAAAACAACTTGTCGTTGGAAAAAAAACTAAAAAAAAAAAAAAACTAAAAACTAAAAACAAATCAAATCAAGCAGCAATCACTCACTTCATGTCCAGTGCCGGCCGGCGATGCTGCTGCTGCTGCTGCTGCTGGTGACAACGTTGGGCCAAATCCTTTCTCTCTCGCTGCTCTGTGGGTCGACTCAAAAACCGGAAACCGCACTCACTTCTTCTTTGGGGCAGGCGATGCTGCTGCTGGTGACTGTATCACGCCTCCTTCTCCCCCCTCTAAGGGACTTGCAGCAGGCCTCCTCCCCCTCCTCTTCCGAACCACAGACCCCCCTCCTCCGTCTCCCTCCACCCCCTCTTCTCCCTCATTGCTCGCCTCTGCAGCCTGCCCTCCTCGCCTTCTCCTCCTCTTCGCCTCTCCACCACCTCCCCTACCTCCCCTAGACCCCTTTCCACCCCTCCCACCTCTCCCACCTTTCCCTCTTGCTCCGCGTTCTCCTTCCTCCTCTTCCTCCTCTCCCTCATTTGCACTATCCCCCACTCCACGTCTAACCTTATTCCCTTTCCCACGACGCCTCTCAACGTATTTCTCCTCCCTTCCATCCTCTTCCTCCTCTCTTTCTCCTCCCTCCCTCTTACCCTGCGCCCGCCCCCCACCTCCCCTTCCTCCTAGACTCTCTCGCTCCCCCCCACTCGACTCTCCACTCCGTTCCTCCTCACTCCCCCTCTCCTCCTCTCGCTCCTCCTCTCCACTGTCCTCCTTATTGGCGTCCTCGCTATTACCATCCCCTCCTTCCTCTCCTGCCAACACCCTATGCCCCCTCCCCACTCCCCCCATCGTTGTCTCTCTTCTCCTCCCCTTCACTTCCAAATCCTCCCCCTCCCCCTCCCCATCCCCATCTTCCTCCCTTCTCTTCCCCCTCCTATCCCTCCTCAAACCAGCCAATCCCTGCCTTCCTCTCTCTCTCCTCCCGTCACCCCCCCTCTCCCCTCTCCGTTCCGCTCCTTCCCCCGCTTTCACGCTCGGTCTACGCTTCCGCCTAACCCGCTCCTCATGCGCAACCCCGTCTCCGCTTTCCCCCGATACATCGCCTTCCGGACTTCCCGGGCTCCCCGGTTCCCCTTTTCCCCTAAGAGGCGGTCTCCGCTCTCTCCCCCCTCCGCCGCCGCCGCCGCCAATGGTTTCTCCGCCGTTCGATCCGCCGCCGTTTCGGCTCCGCTTCGTTCTCTGCCTTTTCCGCGGAACAAATAGGGCTTGACCACCGTCAGCCCCTTCGTACACCTCTGGCGAGTCTTCGTTATCGTCACCGTAAGATCGCTCCGGAGTTCCCGTTATTGTCACGCCCGCTCTTCTCTTCCTCTTACGCGGCATAATCTCCATAGACTCGGTGTCGTCTCGCCCTGATGGCGACGCTCCTACTTCTGCCGAGCCGTTCCCGCTATTATCCTCGTCTACGTACGTGTCATCTTTATGTGTTTCATCTCCTCGATGCGTTTCATCTTCCTCGGAGCCCTCATCGATGCTCCGATCCGAACCTTCAGCCGACGCGGTGTTCTCCTCGCCTTCGCCGCTCGACGAGTAATCCGCAGGACCGACGCGCGGCACGCGTGCGCGAACAATCTGATCCTTCGCCAAGCTCGCAACCGGAGTCATTCGTAACCTCGCCATGTTCAACCCTTAATCATCAAGCAAGAGAAAAAAACAACAGCAAGAGACAAAAACTTCTGCTGCCGTAACCGTAAATTGATCGTCCACCGGCGTCGCGCCTACCTGGGCCCTGTTCTGTTGCCGCACCACTTGGTCCGTACCCCTCCGCACTGCACCAGATTGATGCTTCTTCCGGGGTTCCACCGGAGATCCTGCGAGCTTCATTTATGAGGGCGTATTCCTTGATTCTAGGCTCGGGATACTGAACCTCTTCCCGGACCTAACGAGTGCAGTGCAGTCCGTTCGCCCAAAAGAACGGTGAACCACTGGCGCACTCGTAATCCCCCACTCCCAGGCAAAATGGGTGCGGGACTGGTGCGGGCCTGGTTCAGGGTCAGAGGGGGGATCAAGGCACCGCATCAAGTGGTGCGGGGCAGGGAAAAATGTTTTTCGTTGTCCTGGTTGGCTCGTTTGCTTTCAGGCCATCCAACCATCCAATTGCCATCGCAAGAGAAGGTTTCACGGTCTGGAAAGAAACCAAAAATACTTCCTGCCACTTTCATCGCCACTACAACAACTTTCGCCAACCAATCACTGCCCAGGACTACTTGTGCTGTCGCTACTTGTGCAATTGCGCGGAGTGTGGCAGGAGGCTGTGCTGCACCAACCTGGGGGTTTGATGGTTCGCGGAAGCCTGATGCCGCACCATGTGATGCGGTGCTGTCCTGTCCGCCCCCGCATCAAGTGGTGCGGCAACAGAACACCGCCCTGACAGAAATCAGCAGAATTGATCGTCCACTCTATCAGGTTCCTTCTGGCATTCAGTTGTGTGGGAGAATACGGATGGCGAAGCAATAAAGTGCTATCAACAAGCATTTTGATCGTGCAGGTTGTCGAGTCACTCCTCAGCGAGAACAATGAGTCGAGAAGCTTTTGGTTTGAGGGAAGTCTTGACAAAAACTTACCTAAGTGCTAACACTCCTGGTGTCTCGAAAGACAGAGAGGGTTAGAGAAGACAAAATGCTTTTTCCAGTTCTGCACGAAGCACCCCGCCTCAACCTGCCTTGTACGTCAGCTTTCCCGCCAGAACGAAGTGCCAGGAGGACTTTTTGGCAGTGACTGACCTCGAGAATTCCGAGAAGCCTGGCAAAATTGAAGATCCCCCATACCTGCCTGCTTCAGATACAGCCTTCTATTCAGTCTCAACGGTTGAGTGCGTTATGGTGCAATTTGGTTCGGCTAGAAGTCTTACCACTTTGAACCGCTGCTGAACTTTTTAGACCTCGATACACCAGCACTTCCGAGCATGCCTCCTTCCCTGACTGCGCTTCCCAGTGTTCTCAGTTCGTGTCCGTGGGGATGACATGTCAACATGGCAGTGTCAACACGAAGCGCGCGGAATTTAGAGTGTCAAGGACTGTAGCTTCAGTGTCAAAACGAAGCGCAGCACAAAATCCTGCGATGCAACCTTATTGGTTGGGCACGAATTTGTTGCAAGATCTTGCAGTCTTACAAAACTTTACATCCACACGCGATTTCTTGCAAGACCTTGCAGTCGTACAGGACTTTACATCCGTTGATTGGGCAGGTGTGGGTAGAAAGGATTCTCGATCCTACCAGTTAAGTTGGCTGGATGGAGGAACACGATTCGCAGAGCGGGATGTCCGACTAAATTTACTGGCTGGCAGTTTTCATATCGTTGACACTCTGCCAACAATGTTGGCAAGTGTCAAAACCAGAAGTTGACACTCACAAGCTTGACATGTCATCCCTACGGACATGACCTCAAATCTTCAGACAACATACCTGTTTCGTTCGCGTGTATCTGGGACAAGCTATTTTATGCTTTGTTTCTGAGAGTTCCAGTTGCATGTGTCAGGAATTTGGCCAGGCATAAGAGGTGCATAAAGGTTCTGTGCTACCGTGTCTTATCTTCACGCATCTTGTTGCTCATTCTTCGCGGTTTCCAGCCGATTAATGCCATTTCATACCCACAGGAACCCGACGCCATCTGTTAGTCTTGGCGAAGTCACTCTGCAGAATCTAGGGCATTCTTGGTCTTCCATTTCCTTTTATTCCTCTGGTCGCAAATAATGGCTCACAAGGCAGATGACGAGTACGATTACCTTTTCAAAGTCGTGCTGATTGGAGATTCCGGCGTAGGAAAGTCCAATCTTCTTTCTCGATTCACCCGCAACGAGTTCTGTTTAGAATCAAAATCCACGATCGGCGTCGAGTTCGCAACGAGAAGTATCCAGGTGAGTATTAGGTCAAAGAGAGATGGTGCTCATTTGTTCCGTTTTCTCCATCCATCTCGCAGAGTCATATCATTCCTGAATATTGTTTAAAGCCGTTCGATTACTAGTGTGTTTGCTGATCGTACCATCCTGAATCATTCAGGTTGATGGCAAGACGATCAAGGCTCAGATCTGGGATACCGCTGGCCAAGAGAGGTATCGTGCCATCACAAGTGCGTACTACCGGGGAGCGGTCGGCGCGTTGATTATTTACGACATTACGAAGCACGTGACTTACGAGAACGTTGAGAGATGGCTCAAGGAGCTCCGCGATCATGCGGATTCCAACATTGTCATCATGCTGGTGGGGAACAAGTCCGATTTGAGGCATCTACGTGCTGTTTCGACCGACGACGCTCAAGGATTTGCTGGTAGGTTGTCTTTCTAACGAATTTCACTTTGCAAATTCTAGCATTGTTTTTGTTTTTTTGTTTTCCATTTTGTCTGGCCATAAGTCGGATAAGAGGCATCTACGTGTTGTTTCGACCTACGACGCTCAACAATTCGCTGGTACGTGGTCTCTCGCTAAGCGAATTCCAGCATGGTGATCGTTCTATCGGATCCAAGCATTGTGATCATGTATGGTGGAATGAGCTGGATTTGAGGCATTCACGCGCTTTTTCCACCGACGACGCTTAAGGAATGGTCTCTCTCTCGCAAGTACTTTATGACATTGCGATTATTCTGGTTGGATCAATTATAAAGTGAGGCATCTACACACAATCTTGACTGATAATGCCCGAGGACTTGCTTGCACGGGTCTTTCCCCTCTCCCTCCCTTGTCACCCTCTCTCGTGCTCTCCACCATTCGCACACGCAATTTTCGCGCTCGCACACTAAAACTCGTACACTCCCCATAAACACAACGAGACACACGCACACAAATACACTCACCCTTGCACACAGACACACAACAGACACGCATCCCTACACATACTGCACCTTCACACGCAGCTGCACCCTTTCAGTGCATATGCGTGCACCACAGACGCCCATGGACTCGTACATGACATTTCCCAGTACGAAGTCAAAACCATGGTACAGGCTTCTTGTATTCCGCAACTGGAACTCAAAGCAATCTGTTGTTCAATTCCTTTCGTTGTGAGGAGAGAGACTCAGATTCATGTGCTGACACGGATGTGTAGTGTGCAGTACCCAACACCCCCTTTTCTTCAACCCCCTACTTGAAGTACCAGTAGGGAAGGCGTCTCATTTGTGAGACATTGTCTCTACATTCAACGAATGTGGAGAACGCATTTCACTTGGTGCTGACAGATACCTACTCGGTTGTGCAACGTGCAGTATTTAAAACCCCTTTTTCCATTTGCTTTACATGAAGGAAGGCCTTTTGTTCATTAAGACATCAGCGCTGGCGGCAACAAATGTGGAGAATGCATTCCAGCGGTTGCTGACAGATATCTACCTGGCTGTGCAGTTTCTTACACCCCGTTCCTTTCTTCCCCTCCCCTCATCCCCTTTCCCACACAATCTCCAGAGAAGGAAGGCCTTTCGTTCATCGAGACATCGGCGCTGGATTCAACAAACGTAGAGAACGCATTTCACCGAGTGCTAACAGAGATCTACCGCATTGTGAGCAAGAAGGCTCTGGCGCAAGAAGAGGGTGCGACTGCAGGGCCCGGAGAAGGCACTTCCATTCTGGTGGGAGCAGATGCTAACGCCAACAAGGGGGGGTGTTGCTCAGCTTAGAATGCTGTGGCGAGCTGGTGTACTGTTACGCTCTCTACTCTTATGATCTGTCAGTTTATAAAATTTGAGGTTTATGTTACGGTAGGAGTTATTGTTAGAATTATGTTTATACAGTACTGGCATTGTTATTTAGGTGCATATTGTACTGTATGTATGGTCACGTTTGCATAATTTTGCAAGGCAAAGCAACTGGAGCAGAACTTCATCTATCCACTAGTTGGTGAAAGGGAAATTGCACTGGAATGGGCTGAATGCTTAGTGACATGGCATTATGAAAAATAAACATAATCCAATCCTTCTTCCATGTTCAAAGACTCTATTATCTCCTCAAACGCACCCCCAGTAAGCCCTCTTTTCACACACAGCAGCAGCGGTGGCCTGGCTGCGGACCAAGGGATCACCGGCACTGCTCGTCCTGACTCGTGGTGTGTGTACACTCCTCTAGTTATCTTCTTCTCATCCACATCACAAAAGGCGATCACCTGCACCATGTGAAGACACCAATTAACCACCATCAGAACTCCCAGTGCCTTACAGAGAGGAAAATGCGGGATTTTGCTGTGATGTGTGACATTTGAGGCCACTTAATGATGTCATGGACGGCTAAGGTGTGGTATGCAGTACCTTGGCTTGGTTTGATGGGGAGAGAGAGCGGTAGAGTCTTCTGCCCTCTTTGCCAGCATTCCAGATTGTGAATTCTTTCCAGCTGGAGCTTCTAGGCCTGCAAAAAAAAAGGGAGGGAGGGGGGAGGGGGGTTTGGGGGGGTGGGTTAGCATGACAAGAACAGCGTCGAGCTGAACAGGAAGGAAACCAGTGGCTTGAACTGATTGAGAAAGATTGAGTTATATGAAGTCAGCTGGAACAGCAAAGATACAGCAGGTCAGTATGTTACACTAGCCATCATACTCTGACAAGTTTTGAGAGTTTTCAAAACTGCTGAGGGGCGCTAAGAGTCGTACCCCGAAAGAAGCTGTGCTTCAAGGTGTTTAACCCGCTGTTCCCAGATGCTTTCCCAGGGGCAGCCTCGTGAGCCTGTCACGGATGCTGAGTGGAAGCGATATGTCACTAGAGGCTGAGGCACCTGCAGGGAGAGAAGCAACACAACACCGGGCCATATCCTTGAAACGATGCTACCGAAATGCTTTTCCAGGGTCACCCTCGCAAACACAACACAGGGGAAGCGACACAGTAAAGAGCGCTACCTTTAACACAGCATAGAGGGATACCCTTAACACGGCATAGAGGGATACCCTTAACACGGCATAGATTCTGAGTCATTCTTTCGTGGCGAGGCTAGTGGATGGGCAATCAGAGAACCCAGGGCAACGTTTCTTCACATGCAAGACGAACGGCCGCGCCCACCTTGCCCAGCCAGCTCCCGTTGCCCAAGTGCTGGTGGAAGAACACGAGGTCGTCTGGCGTGCCAGGCCCGCTCTCATCAAAGGGACCTGTTAGACCGTGCGTGCAAGACTCATAGAAGACCTGCCTAGGTGCGTCACATCCCACCTCACCCCCATTCACGCTCACCTTGCCCAGCCAGCCCCCGTTGACCAAGTGCTGGTGGATGAACATGAGATCGTCTGGTGTGCTCAATCTCATGGAAGGGACCTGCTGGAATCCCCAAGGCACATGGAGGATTCCTGGTGTCTCGTTTCCCAACCACCCTCCCCTCGTTCTCACCTTGCCTAGCCAGCCCCCGGTGCCCAAGTGCTGGTGGAAGAACATGAGGTCGTCTGGCGTGCCCGGCCCGCTCTCATCAAAGGGACCTGCAGCACGCATGTGGAGGACGTGCCAGAACAGAACCAGCTGGAGGCAATTAAGGTGCTTTTGCTTTTGAGGGCGGGCAATGATCCCCCTCCTGGTTCTGACAGGTGCCGCAGGAAAGGTCTTTTTCCAGGGCGGTCTGAAGAATTGCCTCTGAGATTTATTGCGTCTTAACTGCCAGAAAGACCTCAGAGGTTTAAAGCAAGAAAAAGAATGCACAAGTCAAGCACCTGATGCGTCGAATACGAGTCGGAAGCAGAACCAGGTGGGCGCGATGAGGGTGGTTTCCACCAGCTGCTCCAAGAGAAGCCCCTTCAACGCGCCTTCGCAACCAGCAACATTTCAGAGGCTCACATTACAGCAAACAAACAACAGCAGTGGAGGGAACGCACCTGAAGCATTGAATACGTGCCGGGAGCAGAACCAGGTGGGGGCGATGAGGGTGGTTTCCACCAGCTGCTGCAGGTACAGCTGCGTCTGGGAAAGGGAGTTAACCCACGCTGTTAGTCTCGGCGTGGCATCCGCTGGCAGACGAACAAAATTGGAACCCACCTGGATGGGGCAAGGCAAGACAGGGTGGGTGAGAGAGAACTATATCTATTGGTTACTGCCATTCCACCACCTGCTTCTGCTGCTGCTTCAGGTACAGCTGTGGGTGGGAGAGGGAGTTGACCCATGCTGTGAGTCTTGGCGTGGCATAGACTGGCAGGCGAACGAAATTAGAACCCACCTGGATGGATGGGGGAAGGCATTGAGTCGGGAGGGGTTGTGATGGGGGGAAGAAAGAGAGGGAGAGAGTTTTAGAAAATGGTTGGTCGACACTTTGAGTTGGCCTTTTGATCTTAAGCTCCAAACGAGCAACAAAGTGTATTACGAATTGATCCCACCTACAGGGTCTGAGGTGACGCGACGCTGAACTTGACTACTCACATGCAAGGTTTGAGTTTTGTTTTGCGTCCTAGATGACAATCTATTATTTTTCCCCCTCCATTGTCTCACCAGTAGCTTGTGGCTGCGAGAGGCGAGAGCAAGCTGTAAGGAGATGCGATCTGGAGCCATGACGTCATCCTGAAGGGTTATAACGCGTATGGAGAGAAAAAGGAATGGAGATGGGTTTAGAAGTCTTAAGGTGGAGCAGAATTATTTAATAAGTGCCGTTTAGCTAAAAACATAAATGTTGAAGTGCATGTGCCTCACCCCCCACGCCTCACGCCCCACGCCCCTCGCCCACACCCCTACCTGCCTATCTCACCCCATCAGCGAAGCACAAGAACTCCCCCCCGCTGTGCTCGATGGCTCGGTTGCGCCCGAACCCACACCCCCTTGGCCAAACCCACACCCCCATGCCCCACGCCCCACGTTCCAACCCCCTACCTGCGTGTCTCACCCCATCGGCAAAGCACAAGAACTCCCCCCGGCTGTGCTCGATGGCTCGGTTGCGCCCGAACCCACACCCCCTTGGCCAAACCCACACCCCCATGCCCCACGCCCCATGTTCCAACCCCCTACCTGCGTGTCTCACCCCATCGGCAAAGCACAAGAACTCCCCCCGGCTGTGCTCGATGGCTCGGTTGCGCCCAAACCCACACCCCCTTGGCCGGGTCCTTTGTTGCCCCCCCTCACTGGAACCGTCTGCGGTGCTTCTGCTGTCAGGAATACCACTGGCTTCAGAGATTCTATTTGACGAGCCACCAACCCCATTGTAACCACCACTTCCATCATAATCATCGCTCCCATTATGACCACTGCCCCCACAACCAGCATCACCCCCACAGCTCCTGTTGTCAGTGTGTTGACAGTTCTCCGTGCTTTCTTCATCATCATGGCAGCTATCAACTGTGGTGGCATCTGTTCGCTTGTCAAGGGCGGCGGCACCCGTCCGTTCCTTCCGGGCGGCAGCATCGGTCTGCTTGTCAACGATCTTCAAGGCGATGCCACGGGCGGCAAGCACGGAGCGATTTGCCTCAAGGATGGCCCGTGATTGGTCGGTGCTCGGGCCGTCGTCAAAGATTAGAAGCTCCATGGGGCCTTGGTAAGTCTGCACGCACATGGGTTACCACACGCACGACGGCACGATGGTATAATGACATGATAGCATGATGGCATGATGGCATGATGGCATGATGGCATGATGGCACGATGGCATGATGGCTGGCAGGAGTCAGTGATACGCCTACGACACGCATGATGGCACCATGGCACCATGGAATGCACACCTGTGCTACAATGGAGTCGATTGCTTCTTGCAGGAACGGCGCTGCATTGTAAATCGGCATGATGATGCTCACCTGGGAGATGTGCATTCATGCATGTTCAGTCATACATGTTCAGTCATACATGTCAGTCGTACATGTTCAGTCATACATGAATATTCATACATGTGTAGAGTGCATGCATGCAGGGAAGCACATTTACATACGATAGCAAGCACACACAGCAGCAACGGCAATGCATTGTGGATCGGCATGATGATGCTTACCTGGGAGATGTGCATTCATGCATGTGCATAGATGGATACGCATTCATGCATGCATGGATGGACACACATTAACGTACAATAGAAAGCACACATCTGTAAAAGCTGGCCGGCAGCACTGGCAAAAATGGCAGCATTGGAAGCACAGAAGATCAATGCACAGACGAGTTTCAATAAAACCATCAAATCGGATGGTCATGTTTTTTCGTCAGGTTTTCTGCGTCAAAAGACTTCGTCTAGGCTTTTCCGTCAAGGGCAGTTCACCTACCAGCGGCATCGCGCCGTCTGACCAACCGCTCTCTGCCCCGTCATCGAGGTTCCACGTCAGCGGTGCGTCACGGGGAATAAACACCCGAGCATTGCGTAAAACGGTTAAAACAGTAGCAGCAGCGCGTGGATCAAGGCTGGGCGTGGGGGTACCGGTAGACATACGGGATAGTGACATATGGCTGCGCCTTCACCTAGGCTCGAGCCGCGCTGGAAGGTGATTTAGTCGGTCAATGTATGAGTTAGCAAGGTGAGTGGTGAAATAGCCACGGAATTTCTCGGGATCTCCAGTGTTCGCCGTACTGCTGGCTCCGGTTTTGTGTATTTTCCTTGAAATTGTTGAATGACTCCCAAGTTTGGTGCCACCACATGATATGCAATAAAAGAGATAGCATGCTAATGAATATGCAATGATTGCCTGGGAAATGGCTAGCATATACAGCGTCTTTCTATTCATCATCCAGTTTGTTTGTGCCTTTCCATCTGCCGACAAGGTGTCTAAATTGTTTGAACGACACAACTTCAATGACCCAATCGATAGTGAAACATCGTATCTACTCAATAACATCAGTCAGTGTAATGCGTGTTGGATAAGGAAATTTTGGTATCTAGGTCCAAAAACAATGTGATCCACGTTAAATCATTCATTGTAAGAAAAACAATATCCTCACCCCTCCCGCCCATCCATCATCCCCCCCTTCATACCCTTCGGTATCGTCTGTAAAATTTCCATCGCCTTTACCCACAGCCCCCCTCTCTGCAGAGCGCGCATGATAACAGCGAATGTGCTCATAGAGGGTACAAGACCCCGTGCCAGCATATCCCGATACACTTGCAGGGCTTCTAACGGCTCACCAGCAGCATCACAGGCAGCCATGACCATGTGGTATGCCTCTATGGGCGCCTCTGCTGCTCCTATTTTAGCTGCTTCTGCTGCCGCTGCCGCTGCCGCTGCTGCTGCTGCCGCTGCTGCCGCTGCTTCTGGTGATGATGTGGTTTCTGCTGGTGACGAGTCTGCCGCTGCTGCTTTTGCTGCTGTTGTTTCTGCTCCTGCTCCGGCTGCTCCTGCTGCTACACCCAAATCTGCTGCCATGCGAGCGTCTTCCCTTTTCTGCGTCTCATCAGATACAGCAGACGTTTTGGCCTGCAGGGCCTGCCTGAGGGACCGGTAGTCCTCTAGCAGATGCTTCGCTTCTTGCCACAGACCCACCTCCTGCAATGGAACAGCACACACCAACACACAAACATGCGCACACACAGAATAAAAAGATGATTGTGTGCACCCATGATATATCCTGCAAGCATCACACATTGTGCTCAACCCAGTTCTTCAAACCGTCTACTCTTCCTCTCGCTTTCTTCCTCACCCAAACCCTCTTTCCTTCCCCACACCCCTTAGCTCTCCCCTGCCCCATTCTCCTCCTATCCTACTCCCTATGTCTGTCGAAAGCCATTTTTTTCACCCCCGCTTACCTCACAAGCTCGCAGCAGAGTCCATATTACTTTCTCCAACGCCCCATCCTCCTCCCTCTCTATCTCCTCATCCTCCCATACACATCCATGCCCCTCCCCACGTCCTCCCTTCTCAATACCTTGTTCCCACACACAGCGCTAAGCCCCTCCCATACACCTCCATACCACTCAAATCTTCCCCCTTCTCCATACTTTGTACCTCACACTCAATGTGAAGTCCCCCTTACCTCACAAGCTCGCAGCAGAGTCCATATTACTTTCTCCAACGCCCCATCCTCCTCCCTCTCTATCCTCCTCATCCTCCCATACACATCCATGCCCCTCCGCACGTCCTCCCTCCCCACCTCCCCCTCTCCCCCGCGCCCCACACACGCCCCCACGATGTGGGAGCACCAGAGGGGGAAGAATCGGCTGCTGTGATAGCCGTGAGATGTGATTGTATTGAGGAGGGATGATGCCTCGTCAGCATCTCTCAGTGCTTCTAGTGAGGGTGCGTATAGCTGGGGGGGGAGTGGGGATTGGGAGGGAGGTTTAGGTGTGGGGAAGATTGTGGAGGGGTGGACGGGAGTGAGAAAGGAGTGACCAATGCATGAATGGTGAGAGACGTGTCAAAATGATTGGTATAGCATGGTATGACATGGCATGGCATGGCAGGGCATGGCTTGAAATGGCAAGGCATGGCATGAAATGGCAAGGCATGGCATGAAATGGCAAGGCATGGCATGAAATGGCAAGGCATGGCATGAAATGGCAAGGCATGGCATGAAATGGCAAGACATGGCATGAAATGGCAAGGCATGGAATGAAATGGCAAGGCATGGCATGAAATGGCAAGGCATGGCATGAAATGGCAAGGCATGGCATGAACTGGCAAGGCATGGAATGAAATGGCAAGGCATGGCATGAAATGGCAAGGCATGGCATGAAATGGCAAGGCATGCCAGGGCACGGCATGGAATGGCATGACGTCAAAGCAAGAGTTGGTATGTCTTCCTGATGCCCAATGCATCAACCACACCTAACAGACACATGCACACCACGGCTCATCGAGATGGCGCACTCGTCCATGGTAACTGCAACTGCCAAAGTACCCACAATGCCTAACAGACACATGCACACCACGGCTCACCGAGATGGCGCACTCGTCCATGGTAACTGCAACTGCCAAAGTACCCAAAATGCCTAACAGACACATGCACACCACGGCTCACCGAGATGGTGTACTCGTCAATAAGAATCCCCATCCTCTGCATCGCTCCAAACACCTCCAAACGGCCCTGCACTGCCCACCCGGTATGGTCACTACACTACCTGCCTTGCCCTCATAGACACATGCACACCACGGCTTACCGAGATGGTGAATTCGTCGATAGGAACTTGCATCCTCTGCATCGCTCCAAACACCTCCACCGGGCCTTGCACTGCCCACCCGTTCTTATCACTCCCACTCCACATTCCCTCAGTGGCACTGCCCGAAACCACCCTTCCTTGCTGTTCGTTCAAGGGGCTTGAATTCATATTGCTGAATCCCCCCTTCTTCCAACCGTATCCCTCCATAGATGCTAACTTCGATCCTGATCGAACGGCCTCCAAACCTGCAGCCCCCGAGCCTAATGTAACGGCCTCCGAACCTGCAGCCTCCGAGCCTAAGATGACGGCCTCTGAACCTGCGGCCTCCAAACCTGCAGCAGCAGCCTCCAAGTCTGGACCTGAATCCGAACCTGAACCCGAACCCATGGCCATGCTGACAGTGTCTGAACTTGGGTCCAGAATGGGAGGGCTGATTTTCGAACCAGACTCTGTTTCCGAACCTTGGCTGGAGGTTCGGGGGCTGGGCCTGCGCAGGGGATAGAGGGTGAGCACCACACCTCCCCCAGGAGAACCTGCCTTCTTCGCCCTGCCATTGCTGCTGCTGCTGCGGCTGCTCCTGCTGCCGGTTTCGCTGCTGCCATCACTGCTGTTGGCACTGCTTCTATCCTTAATGTCCCCCTTGCTGTTTCCAGGTCCATTCTCCACTCTTCTGTCCCTGGGTGCGCCCAGCATCACCATAGACTGCACTGACTGCATCATCTGCACTGATTGCCCCGATCCCACCGCCTGTAGTCGTCTGGCATGGGCTTTCAGCAGAGCGTTGAAGGAGAACGTGTCCGCCTGCAGGCCGGCCTTCAGCCGCCCCTTGCCTCGCGCAGTAGGAGAGGGAGAGGAGGGGAAGGGAGGTAGGAAGAGGCGGGAGAAGAGGGCAGCAGTGCGGCGCACATCCCCTGTGGACGCCAGAGCGTCCAGGAGAGCGTTGGCTGTCTGCTGCTGCAGCACAATTCCGGATGCCACTGCGCGCTCTGTCACTTGCTCTGCCCGCTCGCTCCTCCCCGCCCGTGCCATCACTGCCACCAGGCCTGTCAGGCACGCTGGTGTGGGGCGGATGCTGGTAGAGAGGGGTTGGGGGGAAAGCAAGGGAGGGGGAGCACGAGAGGGATACCATTGGCTGTCTGCTTTTGAGACGTCTCAAAAGTTTTGAGACGTCTCAAAAGTACCATTGGCTGTCTGCTGTTGCCCGTGCCATCACTGCCACCAGGCCTGTCAGGACCGCCGGTGTGGGGCGGATGCTGGTAGAGAGAGCAGGAGGGGGAGCAGGCGTGGGAGGAGCAGCAGGGGTGATAACAGGGGGGTGTGAGAAATGCCGAGGTGGGGGAGGGGTATGGTGGAACAAGTGGTGGCAGGGATGGCATGAAATTCAGTGCTCTGAACTGGTATGGTCTGAAATTCCTTCAACTTGCACTCTGTACCTCTCCCTCTTAAACCCCCCAACTCACCTGCGCCTCTCCTCTCTCCTGTCGCCCTTCTCATCCCCCATCCCCCACCTCATCCACCCAACTCACCCTCTTCTTTCCATGAAAGCCCACACGTTGTCAGCCTCCCACCACAGGCCCTCTGCCGGCACGCACTCAGAGCAGCGCTGCACATGTGTGCATCCGCTTTGGCTGCCCTCTTGGTTTGCTTTGACCCTCCCTCCACCCCCTCAGCCCCCATTCCCCCCAACTCAACCTCGTCGTTCCATCAGCGCCCACACAGCGTCAGCTCCCCACCACAGCCCCCTCTGCCTGCATGCACTCACCCCCCCTCGCCCCCACTAGATCCACCCAACTCACCCTCTTCTTTCCATGAAAGCCCACACGTTGTCAGCCTCCCACCACAGCCCTCGTCGCCTGCACGCACTCAGAGCAGCGCTGCACATGTGTGCATCCGCTTTGAGTGGCCTCCTGGTTGACTGAGTGGACTGGAAAGGCGTTGACTTAATTGACTGGGAAGGCAATGACCGAGTTGACTGAGTTGACTGCGATTGTGTTGACTGAGAAGTAACTTTGGGTGAATCAACCCTGCCTCCCTTCTTGCTCCTGCTTCCCCTTCCCCCTCCTCCTCCACCCATCCGCCCCTCCCTCCCCCCCACAGCCTCCCAAAACACCTCCAACGCTTCTTCATCATTCCCTAGCGCCACCTTTGCTAGAATCACTTCCGTTACAGTCACACAGTCCGGCTCCACCAGCACCTTCATTTGCCAGTCGACGCCTTCCAGCAGAGCCCCGTTATAAGCACCTCCTTGAGCCGTATTCGTTCGATCCTTTCGCACTGACTCACGATTCACCCCTCGAGCTGCTTCCAGCAAGCCTAGCAGCTCCCTCACTCCCCTCTCCCCCTCCTCCTCGCTCCCCATGCGAGCCTGCTTTCCTTCCTTCGCTCCCCTCCTCTCCCTCTTCTCCCCATTCTCCTTCTCCTCCCTCCTCTCCCTCATCTCCTTCCTCTCTTCCATCCCTCGAAGCTGTCTCTCCAGCAACTGCATCCTGCCTGTTAGCCCGAGTTCAGCCCAGTCTGACAAAGTCAAACAAGTCAACCCACCACTCCTCCTCCCTTCCCTCTCCCCTCTACCCTCTTCATTTCCTCCCCCCTCCCCCACTATCACCAACATCTTCCCATCTTCCCTTCCGTCCTCCCCTCCCCCCACCAGCAACTCATACAGCAGTAATCCTGCTGCCGCCCGGTCGGCTCGTCTCATTGCCGGCATCAGCGTGTTGAGGGTGGCGGCGTCCGGCAGTATGTGCGGCGCACCACCATGAACAGCGCCACCGTTACTACCACCACCATCATGAACAGTGCCGGCCTGCGCCATCCACCTGAGCCCGGCAATCATCTCAGGGAGGGCGGCTGCGGGCGGCAGCGCCAGCTGGCACACGTGGAGATACTCGTTGAATGCCCGGAGCTGCGGGTACCAACAGGGGGGGTCATTGCGGCAGTAGGGGCAATGGCACGGAAAGATGAGGGAGTGATGGGAGGTGAGATGGCGGCAGCGCCAGCTGGCACACGTGGAGACACTCGTTGAACGCCCGTACATGCAGGCATTGGGTGGGGAAGGAGGGGCGGTTTTTATTGGTTGTTGAGGACTCTCAAATAGCAGTAGTGGCAATGGGAGGGGAGGAGGAGGCACCACAAGCTGGCACACGTGGAGATAGTAACGGTGGCACTCGTTGGACGCCCTTACCTGCACGCATGGGGTGAAGGAGGGGCGGTTTCATTGGAGTAAGCTGGTTGTTGAGAATTCTTAAATAACATTAGTGGCAGCAATGGGAGGGGAGGAGGAGGCACCACAAGCTGGGGCACGTGGAGACACTCGTTGAAGACACTCGTTGGAGACACTCGTTGGAGACACTAGCTGGGGGTGATGGGGGTGATGGGGGTGATGGGGGTGATGCGGGTGATGGGGGTGATGGGGGTGATGGGGGTGATGGGGGTGATTGGGGTGATGGGGGTGATGGGGGTGATGGGGGTGATGGGGGTGATGGGGGTGATGGGGGTGATGGGGGTGATGTGACGTGATGGGGGTGATGGGGGTGATGTGATGTGATGGGGGTGATGGGGGTGATTGGGGTGATGGGGGTGATGGGGGTGATGGGGGTGATGGGGGTGATTGGGGTGATGGGGGTGATGGGGGTGATGGGGGTGATGGGGGTGATGGGGGTGATGGGGGTGATGGGGGTGATGGGGGTGATGGGGGTGATGCGGGTGATGGGGGTGATGGGGGTGATGGGGGTGATGTGATGTGATGGGGGTGATGGGGGTGATGGGGGTGAGATAAACCCAACCACTCACCGACACCCGGTGTGCGCCCATCTTATCCCGACACTTGGTGGTCTCATGCCACGCATTGACACTTGGGTTCGATTGGACTCACCGACACCCGGTGTGCGCCCATCTTATCCCGCAAATAGCGGAACACCCCTTTCACAACAGCCCACGGCGCCCTGCCTGCTGCTGCTGCTCTCATCGCCGTCACACTTGCAAACTCCAACGCACTGCCACTGGACGGCACCTCGCGCCCTTCACGCTCCTCAATCCCCTCGCGCCCTTCACGCTCCTCAATCCCCTCGCGCCCTTCACGCTCCTCAATCCCCTCGCGCCCTTCACGCTCCTCAATCCCCTTGCGCCTCTTCTGAATGGTGGGGTCAACGACTGGCTGCCTTTTGTCCGAGTCATCACCACAGCCCCCCACCTCGTCACCCTCGTTCCCATCCTCATCCTCGTCTCCTTCATCATCTAACCACTCTCCCTTCGCTCCAGGCCCCCCATTGAGCCCCGCCTTGCTGCTGCTGCTGCTGCTGCTACTTCTGCTACTACTACTGCTGTCGCTGTTGCTGCCATCGAGCTGCCAGTCGAACGATTCAAGAAAGTCAACAGCTTTCTTCCACTGCCCTCCGTTCTTGTAGGCCGATATGAGCTGCTCACACGCAGGGAGAAATGAAAAAAAAAAAAAAAAAAAAAAAAAAAAATCGAGGGTTAGAATATTCTGGTGATACTTGAGTTTTGAAACGTTGGCAGAAAAACTGTAGACTGGGATGAGCTGCTCACTTTCAGGGAGAGAGAAAGTAGGAATAAAATATGGAAAAAAACGCCTTTGAGTCGACTCAAAAGCATTCAGGAAGCGAGAAAGTAGGAATCAAATATGAAAAAAAAGGGATTGATTAAATAAGAATTGAATTGTAGAAACTGTACAGATCTATATGAAAGTACCTGGTTCCATCATCTTGCATCCATCCACAATACCTTGCATGCAGCCACGTCACTTCCCTCCACTCCACAAGCCTCCATATCACCCCATGCCACCTCCGCCATCCTCCAATCCCCTGCCCTCGCATACGCCCCCAGCAGCACAGTGAATGAAAACACATCTGGTCTCACATCCAATTTCACAACCCTCCCTCCTCCTTCTGCTCCTCCTGAGAGATCTACTTGCTCTTTACTATCACCAAGCACACCAGCCGGTGTCGTGTGTCCCCCTGCTCCTTCCCGTCCCTCCCACACTCTCCCCCTTTTCAGCAGTGCCTGCACCATCCCCTCTGCCTCTCGCACCCTGCCGGCTTCACACAGGGCGAATAGCACTGCGTTGTATGCTGTGATGTCTGGCGCAGGGAGAGGAGGAGCAGCAGGAGGAGCAGTGGCAGCAGCAGGGGCAGGAGCAGTGGCAGCAGCACCACCTTCCTCCATCCCACCAGCCCCCATCCCATCCTCCCCCTCCTCCTCCATCCGTCTCAGCAGCAGCAAAGCACCATCCACTCCCCTCAAATCCCACAGCTCACTACTCCTTTTCACTCCATCCGTCCGCCTCTCCTGCCTCCCCTCTCCTCCACTTCTCCCATCCCCTTTCCCCTCTGGCTTACCCTTCCCTCGCCCCTCTCCCCTCCCCTTCCCTTTCCCATCCAGCCTCCCCAGTGAAACTAGCACGTCAGTGTAATGGGCCGACACTCCCCCTCCACCTTCCCCCTCTTCTGCTAATGCCACTGCTGCTGCTGCTGCTGCTGCTGCTGTTGCTACTACTGCTGCTGCTGCTGTTGCTACTACTGCTGCTGCTGCTGCTGCTGCTGCTGCTGCTGCTGCCGCTGCTGCCACCACCAGCACGTCTTTCCTTTGCTGCTGCATCGGCTGTTGCTCTCTCTGCCGCTCCTTCTGCTGCTCTTTCTCCCGCTGCTGCTTCAGCTTCCCACGTGTCGTTTTCTAGGCACTGGAGAAGCTTCCACGCTGCTTCGCCCTGGCCGATCACCCCTAGCCTCTGTAAACAGTGGCAGGAAACGAAGGGAGGCAGGCAGGCATCAGGGCAGGCTGGTTGAATTGAAAGAGGAAAGTGATCAAGAAACGCTCCATTACATATGAAAGAGAGGCAAAGATACTAATGATGCATACGAAAGATTGATTCATCACCCGTCAATGGAGTAAGAGGGACTGGTGAAAAAAAGGCAGCAGAGACGACAGGGAGAGTACAGCATATGCCCAATAATTCACCCACCTTCACCACGGCACGGAAGTGAAGGGTGATTTTAGAGAATTCCCAAACACCAACCACCCACCTTCACCACGGCATGAAAGTGCCTGTGGTCGCTCCTAAGCCAGTTGCAAGTGAGCTGATTTCTTAGTTGACTCAGCAGAAAGTGCCTCACAACAGTGGCTCACAGCAATACCACCCCGCATCACCCACCTGGGCCGGGGGAAGTTTTTTTTCAGATTGGGGACTTGCGGCTTCACGGCTTCGGCCACCGGCGCACCCTCATGAAAGTGCCTGTGATCGCTCCTAAGCCAGTTGCAAGTGAGCTGGTTTCTTAGTTGACTCAGCAAAAAGTGCCTGTGCCAGTGGTGGCACTTCGGTGCATCCACCCACCTTCACCACGGCATGAAAGTGCCTGTGATCGCTCCTAAGCCAGTTGCAAGTGAGCTGGTTTCTTAGTTGACTCAGCAAAAGGTGCCTGTGCCAGTGGTGGCACTTCGGTGCATCCACCCACCTTCACCACGGCATGAAAGTGCCTGTGATCGCTCCTAAGCCAGTTGCAAGTGAGCTGGTTTCTTAGTTGACTCAGCAAAAAGTGCCTGTGCCAGTGGTGGCACTTCGGTGCATCCACCCACCTTCACCACGGCATGAAAGTGCCTGTGGTCGCTCCTAAGCCAGTTGCAAGTGAGCTGGTTTCTTAGTTGACTCAGCAAAAAGTGCCTGTGCCAGTGGTGGCACTTCGGTGCATCCACCCACCTTCACCACGGCATGAAAGTGCCTGTGGTCGCTCCTAAGCCAGTTGCAAGTGAGCTGATTTCTTAGTTGACTCAGCAGAAAGTGCCTGTGCCAGTGGTGGCACTTCGGTGCATCCACCCACCTTCACCACGGCATGAAAGTGCCTGTGGTCGCTCCTAAGCCAGTTGCAAGTGAGCTGATTTCTTAGTTGACTCAGCAAAAAGTGCCTGTGCCAGTGGTGGCACTTCGGTGCATCCACCCACCTTCACCACGGCATGAAAGTGCCTGTGATCGCTCCTAAGCCAGTCCGCAAGAGCCCTCACGTCTAAACGACCCTCCTGCATCCGCTCTTGCTGCTCTTGCTGTCCCTGCTGCTGCTGCTGCTGCTTCTTCTGGTGCTGCTTCTGGTGTCTGTGGCGAATGGGAGAGAGAGTGAGCAGCACCGCTTGCACCTGACAGAGGCAATAGAGAGGGGAAGGTGCCGGGGGTTGATTTTCTTAGTCGACTCAAAAATTGCTTCATCCCAGGCGGTTGAGAGAGAGAGAGTGAGCAGCACCGCTTGCACCTGCCAGAGGTAATGGCGAGGGAAATGCGCAGGGGGGTGATTATTGAGTCGACTAAAAAAGCTGCTTCATCAGACCCGTTGGGAGTGAGTGAGCAGCACCGCTTGCACCTGCCAGAGGTAATGGCGAGGGAAAAGCATCGAGGGTCGAACTAACGAGGAAGAAATATTGAGGGGGGAGGAAACAAGGAGGGAGGAAATAAAGAGGGTGAAGAACGGGGGTGGGTAAGGAAGGGGAAAAAACAAGGTGGATATGACGAGGGTTGTTCAGACGCCTCGTTAAGAACATAGGCCAATCAGCTGAGAGGAAAAGGCATCAACAGGGACGGAAAAAAAGGGAGAAAGAAAGGTGAAGATATGACGGTGATGGCTCCCTGTGGAGGAGAGGGCATAGAGAAGAGGATTGTGTGGGAGGGAAATTGTGGGGAGAGGGGTGAGTGAGGCGGGGGAGTGAGAGGAGGGAATGAGAGGAGGACAATTGAGCTGATGACTTTTGAGTAGACTCAAAAGTCAGCAAAAAAAGGAGCAGCAACTGACACAGTGGGCGGCAACATCTCGGAAGCTTCTGGCATCGCTCGTCCCTGCCTCCGCCCATGCCCCTGCTGCGTCTGTTCCCCCTGTCCCCGCTGCTGCCCCTGTTCCGCCTGTCCCCCCTGCTGCCCCTGTTCCCCCTGTCCCCCCTGCTGCCCCTGTTCCGCCTGTCCCCCCTGCTGCCCCTGTTCCCCCTGTCCCCCCTGCTGCCCCTGTTCCCCCTGTCCCCCCTGCTGCCCCTGTTCCGCCTGTCCCCCCTGCTGCCCCTGTTCCGCCTGTCCCCCCTGCTGCCCCTGTTCCCCCTGTCCCCCCTGCTGCCCCTGTTCCGCCTGTCCCCCCTGCTGCCCCTGTTCCCCCTGTCCCCCCTACTGCCCCTGTTCCGCCTGGCCCCCTTGCACCCCTTTCCCCGCTTCCCCCCCCTGCACCCGCTGCCAACGTTCTTATCCCCGCGCCTGTACCACCATCCGCAGTCTTCCGCCTTCCTTCATCCTCCCTCCCCCGCACCTCAGGGCCACCCCCGCGCCCCTGCCCCTCTTCTCTCCTCCAAACTCCCCTCCTCGCGCCGCTCGCGTCCCGCCGCACGGCTGCCAGTCTCCCGATCGCAGCCGTTCGCTCCACCGGTGCGCCATCTCCCACCGAATCCCCACCGTCGGTTACTGCTTGCGCACGCGCAGTTGCTCCCCTTCCGGGCGCGCCTCTGCTTAGCGGCGCGTGAGTCGCGGGGGATGGGAAGGACAGCGCAGAAACGCCGCGGAGTGGGGAAAGAGTGGGGGAAAGGGAAAGCAGCGGAAAATGCGCGAGCAGCTTTTTCTGACTCCCAGAAGCAATTATCCGCGCTGTATGGCGCGGAGAGACTCGGGGAATTCGGAGAAGCGCGGGGGGACGCGCACGCGAAGTGGCTTGGGGAAGAAAAGCGGAAGCTGGCGCAGCGGCGTAGGCGGAAAGCGCTGCTTGGTGCTTCAGGGATTCCATTTCCCTCGGCTGAATTCTTGTGAACGAATGTGCTATGTACAACAGAAATGGACCAGATCCATATCCCCGTTATTGCCCACAGAATCCGACAACTAACGCTAGGATGTCAAGGACGATGGCATATGTACACAAATTAGGAATGCAGTTCCTGGATTAGGTGTAGGGAGAAAAATAGGAGAAATCCTATCACTACACTACAACCATACAGTGCGCAGCATGCCCAATTACAAATGGCAAAGGTGGATTGTCAGTACGGTACTTAACATGCAAAACATCCCTTTCATCATTCAAAACTGGATTTGCTTGGATCCAAAGAACCAACAATACAATGCAACAAAATACGATATGTTACACCTCAGAATGGCTGAGGAGGGTCAAAACTTCATGTGACATATCAAGTTTGGCACATGGATATCACTATTTGCCTGCAAGAAAAAGAGGAAGGGTGAATTCAAACAAGCCAGGCATCATTAATAACAACTAGTAGGAAAATATAGGCTGACGATGATGAAGGGTTTTCAGACAAAAAAATCACACAGGTAAACCTGAAGGACATCAAAATGGAGTGCTTATAGTGAAGGTGTAGGGCTCAACGAGGGACCCACCTTGTCAGCTTGAGAGAAGGCAGACATCTGGTGTTGGGTTGCTTGCCGCAGCTATTGGCTCGCTCGGGACACCTCGAGAGCCTCGGCCGCAACGGCTGTTGACTTGACTGTAATGGTCGCTGCCTCGATTGTGATGGTTGCATGGTTGACGGTTTGGGATGTTAGAGCAGTCATGACAGTTGTTGGCTCGGCCGTCAATAATGTTGACTCGTTTGACCTGGTTGCTAACTGACAAGGTAAGGGAACTGGCTTGCTTTCTTCGGCTATTAGCTGGCGAGTCAAAGAAGTTGACTCGCTTTGTTTGGCTGCTGGCCTGCAAGACAAATGCATTGACTCGTTTTCTGTGGCTGCTGACTTGCAGGCCAACGGAATTGACTCGCTTGCTGTGGCTGGTGGCTTGCTGTAGATGAGGATTTGGGAGAGCAGCACCACGTGAGACATGAACCCAGCAATGCTGGACACCACCACTGCATGCATGTGGACAAGTGGGGGAAGGGAGGAAGGAGAGTCTACAAGATTTGTGGCAGTATTGGAAACAACTACATAACAAAGAGACTGAAAAAAAAAAAAGTATGCCTGAAACAATAAAGTACAAAACAAACAAACAAACAAACAAAGAAACAAAACGCATGCTAGAGAATTAAACAAACCACAATCCTTCGGAACAAAAGGCATGTAAACACATACTGGGTTTAGCTACAAGGGTATACAAAAAAGCAGGGGCAGTAGCAAGGGAGCAAGATGGCTTACAGCCGTAGGGTGCTCGTTCCTGAATGCTGGTGAAGAGACGCGCTGTTGGCGATAAGAGGCAGTAGAAGAACAAGGAACAATGGAGGAACAAGGGATGCTAGTGGTGAGGTTGAGAAACAGCCAGCTGTAGTAGCGAGATGGCATGGCAAGCGTTAGGGAGCAGCCGATAAGAGGGTAAGCGGAGCGTGGGACACGGGACGGGTGCAGTGGATTAGACTCACCCACACGTGAGGCGCAGTGGATTTTCCTTTTTAAAGCTCTCAACAACCATCGTGTAACGGTTAAGGAAAACAGGAGCGGGTGCAGTGACTCACCCACGCATGAGCCAGCACTCATGGAACAGGTGGCAAGGCTTAGCAGTCCTGTGCTGGAGGTCTGTCCGCAAGGCAAGCAGGAGGGGGAGAGTGAGAGGGATGGAAATGAGGTGTGAATTCAACTGCGAGGCGAGTCAAAGGGAGGGTACTTCTGAGATTTTTCAAAAACGAGTCAAAGGAAGCTTTAGCCTTCCTGGAGAAAGACTGGGAGCAGACGAGCAAAAAGAAACATGCTATCTTGTTCCACGCGGCTAAGACAAGACAGGGAAAGCACGTGCAACCAAACTCACCGCAAAGTTTTGCCACATCTGCGGTAATCTCGATATGAAGAAAAGAGCTGTTTGCCCATTCTGCATGTGGCATAGAGGGGGGAAGGGGGAGGAGTAAGGAGGAGGAGGAGGAGGAGGAGGAGGAGGAGGAGGAGGAGGAGGAGGAGGAGGAGGAGGAGGAGGAGGAGGAGGAGGAGGAGGAGGAGGAGGAGGAGGAGGAGGCAGGTAAGCACTATGGCTGATTGCTCTGCACTGCACCCCCTGTGAGTAACCGGGAATATTGCATGGAGGAATAACCACGTGGCCCTTAAGTCACTGCGCACAACCCCCCTCTGAGTCACACTGCACAACCCCCCGAATTTATCACACCAAGACTCACATATAGCGCTTCGAACCAGGTTGGCCGCATCATGTCCGATATGAGGAATGATGCAACGCACATGTAGCTGTACGCCAGGGTTTCGGGTTTAGGGTGGGTGGGTGGATGTGGGGGGAGAGACGGGGAGAAACAGGGGAAGGGAGGGGGAAATTGAGAGAGGGGAAGCAGCAGGAAAAGGAACCTTTGATCAACTCAAAAACCCGTCTGATACTAAAATGATACAGACGCACATGTAGATGCATGAGCAAGGAAGAGGGTTGGGAGGGGGTGGGGAGCAGGAGAGGAAAGGAAAAGGAAGTTTTGAAACGAAAGGAAAAGGAGATAGGAACAGTCTGGCCGAGCGATATCTGGAGCAGAAGGTGCAGAGGAATGTGCAGTCGTTGAGAAATGGCTGTTTTACCAAGACTTACAGTCCAGCCCGTTGGTATCTCTTGCTTCCCAGTTCGGGGGAGTGATGGTAGATTAGCAGCACGAGAATCAGAGCTGCATGGGAGGGGCAACGAAGGTAGCAGACAACCCCAGGGAGGGAGGAACAGAACACAAGGGATGAAGAGGACAAAATGTTGTTGTGTCGACTTAAAAGCAGTTAGGGGAAGCGATGGCAGATGAGGAGAATGAGAAGCGAGCTGCACGGGATGGAAGCGAGGGAGGATCAACGATTCGATGGTTGCACCATAAGCACTGAAGGGCACGCTGCGCGGACGAGGAAAGGACTCCTCGTTGCAGTCGAACAGGTGACTCGCCCTGAAGGAGAAGAAAGAAGACGCGGCGACTCTCCATAAGCAGCACTGAAGGGCACGCTGCGCGTCCAGCAGACGTGGAAAGGTCTCCTCGTTACAGTCACACAGGTGACTCACACACAACGGTGGTGGTGACTCACCTTGCAGGAGAAGGAAGAAGAGCTCGCCATAGGCACTGAAGGGCACGCGGCGCGTCCAGCAGAAGAGGAGAGATACGGTATATCCCACACACTCCAGCTCGAACATTGTCACACTCAGGCCGTCCACGCTGCTGCTCTGCACTATGCGCATGATCTGAAACGGAGAAGAGAACAACATCAACCAGAAACGATAGGAGTGAGTGAGGGAAGGGGGGAGGGGAGGGAGGGGGGGAGGGACGGAGGGACGGAGGGACGGAAGGAGGGAGGGAGGGAGGGAGGGAGGGAGGGAGGGAGGGAGGGAGGGAGGGAGGGAGGGAGGGAGGGAGGGAGGGAGGGAGGGAGGGAGTGAGTGAGTGAGTGAGGGAGTGAGATGGTGTAGCCCAAAAAAACCCAACTCCCCTCAGTAGCCTAGACACTCTAGCTGAAACCAGGTCACGCTGAGTTAGACAGATGGGGTATCTAGCTCAGCGTGAGACCTCCCACTACCATGCAATCAGAGATATTGGTGCGACTTTTGAGAATTCTCAAAAGGCGCACCAATGTATCTAACTCAGCGTGAGACCTCCCACAACAATGCAATCAGCTATACCTGTGGAAGCTTCAGGACCGTTGATTGGGCGATCAGGTAGTAACCAATCAGCTTCGCCTGGATCGTCAGGAACCAATCGCTGGTGAGCATTCGCCAGTTAGCCCACACCACCCACGCGGCCACCACCGCAGCAACCACCAGCAGCACTCTATTCACCACCACGCGAGACGAGCTCTCGACGTGAAGGGCTGGCAGAGGCAGAGGCAGTGCGAGCGCCGGCAGCGGCAGTGCCACTGGCGGTAGCAAGGGCGCATTCTCATGGCCTTTTAGGGGTCTCGCGGGGAAGGTGTGTTGCGGCGGCGAGCAGATGGCCCACGACGTTTGAGGCGCCTCAAACGACGGCGGCGGGGAGACGGCCCACGCGGTGGCCTTTGGGATGAGGTGGTGACGGTCCGCCATAGCAGGTTCGGCCATAAGGTCGGCCATAGGTTCGGTTATAGGTTCGGTCATAGGGTGCGGCGGGGAGATCATGGCCCACGCGTTGGCGTTTGGGATGACGTGGCGGCGGTCCGCCATACTAGGGACCGCCATGGGTTCGGCTGAGGGGTCGACCATGGGGTAGTAGGCCGTCGAATGCGCCGTGGAATCGACCATTCCAGCAGCCACTGAATAGCACATGCTGATTTCAATCGCCGGATCGGTCATCATGATGGGGTCGACTGAGAGGTCGGCCTTGGGCTCGCCGCCTACCCTAGACCAAGTGACCAGGGAAGTTCGCCTTGGGGAGTCGGCCATGATGGCATTGGCCCTGGGAACTCCGACAACGACAATGGCGTGAGGCCGCTGCGGCATGATTGCGGAGTCGACCACTGGCGGTTGAATCAAGGGGTCCGCCATAACGCTCGCCTTGAGTTCTTGGACAGTGACGATGCTTTTAATCGCCCTCGCATCGGCCATACTAGGCTGGGACATAACTCTTCGCATTATGGCCATCGTCGTCGAGGGTATGACACTGACTTGAAGCGTAGGAGACGGGATGAGGCGAGACGAGGCGACGCGAGGCGACGCCAGGCGCGGAGGCGAGGTAGTAAGGCGAGACTACTCTCCTAAATAGTTATGTACGGTTTAGGGTCCCATCCGTGGGTGCTGGTGACTCCGCGTCGGGAATGTGATAAGACGAGGCGAGGGGAGGCGAGGCGAGGGGAGGAGGCGAGGTGAGGAGAGGCGAGGTGAGGGCGAGGCGAGTCGAGGGGAGGTGAGGCGAGACGATGAGCTCGCTCTCGTCTTGCCTCGAGAGCCCACTAGTCGGAAGCCTGGTCAACTCCAAACGACAGGAGCTCGAAGAGGTAGGGGGGAATGAGGGGGGGAAGGGGGGGAGAGGGGGGGGGGGGGGAGGGGGGGGAGGGGAAATAGTGGGCGCGTGCGACGACGGCGGAAAGCGAATACTGAATAATATTCCATATCCCCGGTGGATATTCCAGTAAAAGCCATCCTGGAGCACTATCTGGGCCGGAGGGGGGCCCTTGGGGAGTAGATCGGGGGGGCATCGCTCCCCCAGGGGGAAACATCGGCCCCCCGGGGGGAACATCGCCCCCCCAGGGGGAACGTGCCCCCCCAGGGGGGAACAAGGTTTCCCCAGAGAGGGAGGGGGGGTCGGCGCGATTCGCCGGCGCGTGCAAGGAGTGAGTGGTCAGCGAATGGCCGGAGTTATCTGCTGGTGATGATTCATGATTCCCTCTGCTTTCCAGTCCATATTATCTCCAGTGATGACCACACAATTGATGCCGCGAACAAGTGGCGGTAAGCTTGCCGGTCAAGAAGAGTAAACGTAAGGAGGATGTCTTTGTCGTACTATAAGGAATCGCGTACATGTTCTCACGTCCGCACCGCAGGTGCCTGGCAGGTGTTGTTGATTCAGCGGGAAATTCCCGCTTTGCCCAGTGGCGTGAGTGTAAGTGAAGGAACTCTTTGGATCCCCTCCCCGCCCCTCCCCTAGCAGCATAACACTGTGCACCCTAGTGCGGATTAGGGTGCTCGTTCTTGTTGTTTTTGTCAGATCCACCGTACGTAACCACATTGCACCGTGTTCTAAAACCCGGTATCCTCGACCTCCGTTGCTAAGGTAAGAGACGTGACAGACACCGCGTCACGAACAGAAGAAAGTGGTGGGTACAGTAAAAGTATATGTGACGGGCATGAAAATGTCTCGGGCCAGAACGTCTACAACTTCGATCACTAAGTGGAAGAGAAACATCCGCAGGGACATGAAGAAGGATTACGACAACTAATCCGGCGAGGGGTGAAGTATGAGGGATGATATACCTCAGCGGCCAAAAAACGCCGCCCAACTTCGCGGTACAGATGGGACAACGGCCCCCCTCGGGATTGACGAGCTCGCGACGACCTCCGAGCTGCGAACTGAGGCCAAATGGCGTCCCAGGGGCCTCGGGAGCCCCTCGGGATTGTCGACAATCCGACGACATCGGTTTCCGCTGGGAGATTCCTGAGAAGTAAATCTCAGCGGACAAAATAGGAAAGCACGCCACGTCGAGCCGCGACTGCCGCCACGCGGACCAATAGGGAGGAGCCAGACCGTCCCCACCGTGTACTAGGCTGCCACGACGTGGTCGTCATGGCCACGCATCGCTCCAGCGGTGATTTTTTTTGCGCGGGAAGTCGTGAACCCCTTTGAAAATGTCAGAGCGCTGTCCACGCGGCGCAAATCGGACCGTCCAGGGTGTAACTGTTCTGTGGCATCGCGAGTTGCACGCCATGTCGGTGTCGACCAAAGGCCCACAACCAAGCCACGGGGCACAATCTCAACACAGTCTAGGTTCAATGAACCTAAACCGACAACCAAGCGCGCCGAATGGAAGTCGGCGACGATCTTTGGGCGCCCACGGTAGGGTTGCCACGCTGGGCTCCAAAAATTCCGGGACCATGGGAGATTGGAGCCGGCATGCCATAATTTCGGAAATCAGGGGCCAATGTAGGCCCCAAGCCACGTAACACACGCCCATTCCACCGTGGAAAGACCCAGGCTTACGCCCCTTCGGTGCAGCGCGGCGTCACGTTAGCCATGCTTGGCACGTGGCACTTCGGGCAGTGCGCCGCCTTTGCGCGAACACATGCATGGCGGCAGGAGCTTAGGGGTGTGCGTGAAGCGCGGCAGCATCGGAGTCGCTCAGGACCATACCCGTCCGTGACCGTGCGGGCCTGCTCATTCCCACGTCCGTTCCTGCGTTTCTTCCTGCTCTCTCGTGCAATTAGAATTTTCAGCCGCCAGTCTGTAGGTTACTCGTGCACCGACTTGGTCAGTAGTCGTCGACGTCGACGTCTGCTGTTTTAGCTAAACATCGGTGCAAGCTCTTAACGTCTCGGCCGACGTAGCAAGTCGGCGACGCATGGCAAGAGGTCGCCCTAGAGCCCAACAGCCGCAACCCATTCCACCCCCCGCCGACTCCGTAGACGCCGACATCAAAGCGCAGCTGCCACGGCTCGAGGTCGAAGCCGAGTTAGACGCACTCGATCGAGAATTCGAAGAAGACCGCCGCGCAGCTCTTCGGGCGTTCACCACACCCGTGACTCAGTACCGTCTTTGGTCTACCAACCCCCGCAATCTCGAGGTCGAACACGAGTTAGACGTTATTGAACGATATCTAGAAGAAGACCGACGCACTACTCTTCGGTCGTACACCGCACCCGTGAATCAGTACCGTCTCTGGTTTACCGACCTCCGCATCGCATACATACGTGCTGCCACATGGCCGACGTCGACATGACCGACACTAGACCATCCACCGACCACAGTCCGACATCTACCGAGGAAGAGACGCTCCCGTTACTCTACGATCTTGACAACCTGAAGCAGATTCCAGAAGGGGAGTTCACCAAGGACATTCCCCCACCGCCGATCGGGGAGTTTAACAAGAAAAAAATACAGACTCCGACGCAAAATCGACATCCAGGAACTTTCGTCGGCACCGGCCGGCTCTGGAAACCAGGTTGAGGTCGAGGAGGAGGAGGACGGGGGGGAGGAGGAGGAGGAGGAGGAAAGCGACGATGAAAACGACGAGCGTCCGCCGCGCAGCACTAATCAGCGCACCTTGGAAGAACGACTCAGGCGGGAACTTGAATACATAGATGATCTGCTCGAACAGGACGAGGATGCCGACCAGGAGAACTTGTCGGTGCCGCCCGAACAGTGGAGGGCGGCAGACTTTGTCGAGGAAGAAATGGTGTACGCGTCCATCGACGTGCTCATCTTGGACGCCCTACGCTACCTGCAAACCGTGGAGAGGAACAGCACGCTGAGGTTGTACACCTCGTGGATCTATCACTACAAGAGGTGGGCGGCGAAGATGTTGAGGCAAATTCGCAACAAGCTTCCGCAGGAGTACAGGCTTAAGCACGTAGACAAGATAGGGCACTACATCCGGGACAACAAGAAGAAAAACTGGGACCAAGAGGCCGATGTCCCCCGGGCGTACGTGTGGCTGCACGGCCCTAGGGTCACCAAGTCCCGGCTTCGCGCATACGTGAAGTACATGGTTCGGGAGTTGAAGCTCGATGCCGAGTCCAGCAAGGAGGGCGACAACGCCACAGGAACACAGCCTGTGCAATCTACAACGGTGCACACGCTCCTCGGGCGCATAAAGGCATGCCAGATGGCGGCGAGAGTGGAGGCGACGATATACCGGGAGACGGAGCTGAGCATCATGCGTGAGATATCGGTGGTCAGGTCGGAGGTGCGGTTCATGATCCGCACCAAGAACGAGCGGGACATCAAGTGAGTTTTTGGTGGACCTCTGTCGACCACTCTCTTGTTGTCATGTACTGTGTCGACGTCTCCCTAAATGCCCCTTACCCTCGGCATTGTCGGCAGGAACTGCACCGATCGGCGTCGCGGAACCATTGGCGATACCTACACCGCAGAACAGTTCCGCCAGATCATGTTCAGGGTGCTGCCGACGTGGGCGGCCAAGGCTTGGAACCCGCGGGGTACGGGCCCGTCGCAGACGCTGTGGCGGTTTCTGCTGTTGAAGGTGCTCACGCTACTCTCCCACCATTCTCTCCTGCGCGGTGCAAGCATCCGCGAGATCACGCTCCCCGACATATTCTTGTACCGACTGGCGAGCACCTCGTCGGTGAACCCGGAGAACCAGCCGGTCGTCATGGTCATCGCTGCGCGGAACTCGAAGACGTCCAAGGATGTGCGTTTGCAGCAGAGCTACGCTGCGCGGCACCTCGAAGCGGAGTTGTGCGCCGTCGGCGAGACGGGCCTGTGGTTGCACTTCATCCTCGACCAGATCGTCCAGTTTCACGGCGTCCGCCTCATTCTGCCGGTGGACACCAGCACACGCGCGAGCTGGTACAAGAAGCACCTCTTCTTCGCCAAAAACGACACCGACCAAGGGGAGCTCTCTGCGGCAAGCCACCAACGCTGGACACGGCAGTTTTGGGACAAAAACGGGGTGTTCTGCAAAAGGAACGTGCACGCCGCTCGAGCCGGAGGGGCCCAGGAGCTGGCCATCGACGGCACGCCGCGCGCCGAGATCGCGGAGCTGGGTCACTGGGCGCTCGACAAGATGACGCGAGCGTACATCACCGCCATTCCGGTGGGGGTGGTTATGAAGAAGTCCGGTTACTCTGGTTACAAGCAGGACTACTTCTTGGGCCGGAGCAGGTTGGAGCCCTCCGATAAGCTCTTGAAGCTCCTCGCCGAGCACATCTTCCCCGGCGTCGACGACATGCTGAAGACGGTATGTTAGTCGACGCCCTCGTATCCTTGTTTCCGAGTCGTGTTGCCGACAGTGTCTGAACTCCTAATACACGTGACGAATTGCAGGCGGAAGGGAAGGCTGCCAAGGGGTCCGACGCCGACAAAGCCGCGGTGCACTTCTGGCGCACACTCCAGATGCTGCGCCGCATCGTCGCCGAGGACCTAGCGGTGAAGCTGGTCCGCACACCATGGCACCCGTACGTCCAAGGCTCCCTGCTCTGCCGGATCCCCCTCTTCCAGCACTGGGCGAAACGGGTCGAGGCGCTCGACACAGAGACGATCAACAAGCGTCGGGACCCGACCCAAATTCAGGCAGAGGTAAGTCGACGACGAGCTGGATGTAGGGCATTCCAAACCACCTCGCGGCTAACGTCTTTGTCCTACCTCTGCAGGAAATCTCTGTCCGCATGGACACCGAGTACTACAGCATATCCCTCAAGGCGAAGCTGACGAAGGAGATGGAGCGCGCCGCGAACGAGAAGATTGACTTCCTGGAGGAGCTCGAGAAGCGCGACGACACCATCGCGTCTCTCACCGCCGAGATAACCCGTCTCACCGAGGCACTCCGTGTGTCCGAAGCACGGAGAGTGCCGGAGGCCCCGCTGTGTGCTACCGCACAAGCTCCCAGCGAGGGTGGCTCGGCGGATTCGGCCAACATGGGAGCCGGCGCCGACGGAGGGGACGACAAACCCCCGCCACCCCCACAGACGGATGAGGAGGCTAGTTACGAGCTCAACGTGGTACAACCGTGGCGGGAGGCCAAGGCGAAGCTGACGAAGGAGATGGAGCGCGCCGCGAACGAGAAGATTGACTTCCTGGAGGAGCTCAAGAAGCGCGACGACACCATCGCGTCTCTCACCGCCGAGATAACCCGTCTCACCGAGGCACTCCGTGTGTCCGAAGCACGGAGAGTGCCGGAGGCCCCGCCGTGTGCTACCGCACAAGCTCCCAGCGAGGGTGGCTCGGCGGATTCGGCCAACATGGGAGCCGGCGCCGACGCAGGGGACGACAAACCCCCGCCACCCCCACAGACGGATGAGGAGGCTAGTTACGAGCTCAACGTGGTACAACCGTGGCGGGAGGCCAAGACCGTGAGGGACGCCTGGCGCCTCTGGAACTCCGCCACCGCTAATGACACCCGTCGGCTTTGCGACAGGGTTGCCGAGCCGGGGTTCATCGACCGCCACACCCTCCTCAACGGCGCGACGCAGGGTGCACTCAAGATGAGGGTGCGCCGCATGCTGAAGGTCATGGATGCGGTGCGCCAGCTACGCGCGAGCGACGGCGACGCCGACACCGAGGCCGTGGTCGACGCACTGCACAGGATCGCGGCACCGGGCATCGGGACCTTCGCCGATGCCCTCACGGTGCTCAAACCGGGAACGGCACCGATGTTGTCCAAGGAGCCTGGCATGGGAGTCAAGGGGCTGGGCCCCAAGGTGGTCTCGAAGCTACGTCTCGCCTGTGCGCTTGTGGCGCTCAACCTGAAGCAGAGTGATTGGGTCGAAACCATGTTTCCAGACACGTGGGAGGAGCAGATGCCGAAGACCAAGGCCGACCTGGCGAAGCCGACGGCACCGGCCAAGTCGACAGCACCAGCCAAGCCGGCCGCTCCGGTGCACCGTCCTCCGACCAAGCGCAAGAAGTCGGCATGAGCGCGCTTGTAGGATCTGCGTGTGCGTAGTTTGATGCTGTTAACTGTGGCAGACTTCCCCCCCACCCCCCCCCCCCCCCCCCTTTTTTTTTCAAAGGCTGTTCCGGTAGTTTGTAACAACCCATTGCAAGGCCCTTGCGGGACTTGATCCCGCTGTGTTAAATGTAGTCGGTCGCTCAGTAATAATAAAAAATACTATCCTTGCTGACATCAAAACTCAGATCGATGTCGACGTCTCGCAGGATTGCATGGTGCTAGGCTGTCGACATATACTTAGACAGAGCTCGTCGCTGAGTAGCATGTGTCTACCTGAGTATCATCGCTCCTCGCCGAGTCGCATGTTCCTTTTGATGTCAACAGATGCGCCGACAAGGCTCATCGTTCAAAGACAGCTAGCAAGTTACAATGTGGACAGTGATTTATATCATCACAAAGTGAAGCAAACAGAAACAAAAAAGATTCGTGCCCTACGATCAAAAAGTCATTAGATTTACTACGACATCGGCGCCGACCAGACCATAGCACCCTGCACACCACAGCCCGCCAACTACGCATCCGTACTGCCCTTGCCCTGCTTGCCCTCCTTCCTCTTGCTGCCCTTGCCCTGCTTGACCTTCTCCCCCTTCCTCCCCCTGTGATCCATATCGTACTCCATCTTCGCGTCACACGGCACATCGATGCCCTGCTCTTTGAGCTTGGGCCCGGCGACCGGGCACATTCCCCAGAACGCCAAGGTCTCGACCGTCGCTCTTGCGATCATGTCGGCCTCGACTTCCTCAACTCCCTTCGCGAAGGCCCTGGCCACTGCCTGGCTCTGCAGCGCTGGCGCGACGTTATGTGCAACCTCCCCCGCGGGAGCCTGCCTACTGCGTGCTAAGTCGATCACCGCGTGCATCACCTCCTTGAAGTCCTCGGCCCTCGCCTCCCCCGCACCTGCCACCATCGCCGCCGCCTTCCCTTCGCCCACAGCACCGAGCACCGACGCCCCCGTCTCCATGAAGCACCAGATGGCGCATGCCGATGCCGCTAACGCCTGGGCCCCCATCTCTGTCTTCTCGTCCGCCTTCCCCTCCACGCTCGCATCGACCTTCCCAAACGCCGCGCTCGCCGCGACCTTCCCATACGCCGCGCACATCGACACGCGATTTACCATCGCCGACATGAGAGCGTCCGTCTCTTCCTTGCCTTCCTCCGTGTTTTCGATGATGGGGAACCAGATCGCCGGCCAGAGCACGTCATGAAGCGCCTCACCCGAACTCAGGTACCCACTGTACCTGCCGAGTATGTCGTCGAACCTGCCGCGCAAACACATTAAAACGACACGACTTCGTCAACATCAGCGTAATGACACCGACCTGGTCGACAGAACTCGGCACGTCGGTATCCGTCTTACCGTGCTCTCGGATGGCACAAGCCTCTTGCCCACAACACCGTCCACATCCCAGTCGGCAAGAACTTGACCTCCGCCCACACCTCCTTCCATTTATCCAACTCCCCCGGCTTCAGTACGGTGAGCTCTTTCATGAGCACCTTGCTCACGTAGCCGTCGTAGACGACGTACGCAATTGCGTGCTCGTAGGCCAGCTCCATCTTCTCCCTCGACTTGCCGATGTACCAATTCATTCCCTTCACCTTAATCTCGCCCACCCACCCTTGCCCGTCGCCAACCTTGTCTCGGCGGATGCCATGACCCCTGCGTCCATGCTCTTTATCTCCCTCGCCGCCCTCCTCGTCCTCCTCCTCCGCCTTCTCCTTCTTCTTCGCCGGCTTACCCTTGCCGCCCGTCTTGTCCTGATTCCCTTCCGCCTTCTTCCCTTTCTCTTCCGACATCAACTTCCCCGCAGACATCGCCCGCGTGCTTCTCTGAGAGACCGCCTTCCCTTTCCCGTTGTCGTCCTTTTCCTTCCGTCCAGCATTTCTCTCGGCGACAGCACCACCCGTTGCGACCGTCGGCTCCGCTGAACCCCCTCCGTGGGTCGCCGACGGCACCACATGCGCAGTGTCCATGATGGCCAGAGCAGGGGCGTGCTCGGGGCGTTTTGCTGCCTCAAAATGGGCCAGGACGACAGCGAGGTCGGCATGCTTGTCGGCGCGGCCGCCGGTGGCTAGCGCAGCACTCACTCCCTTCTCCGCCGCCACATCGACCACAGATGCACCTAGTGTGGGTGCGGTCGCGTTTACCGACGTCGGCGTCGCGCTTTTGCCGAGTTCCGGCTGAGTCACCGGTGGAGCTGCCGCTTTGCGTGCGCCTAAATGGGCACGCAGAAACGCGGACTTAGGGTCCGCAGGCGGTGGGGCGGCCACCGGAGGCGCGGCAGGTGGGGCACCGGACGACGTGCCGGCAACCTGTGGAGTGACGAAGCGACGTGCTGTTCCAGGAAGGCCAGCGTCGACCACGGGATGCTGCTGCACGTCCCTGCTATGTGCCTCCATGCGGCGGAGCATCTCCCTGAGCGCGGTACCACCGGGGGGGCCCTTAGCTGATGCCACGGCATCGCCCTTAGCCGAAGCAGCCTTCGCATCGCCCTTGGCAGCAGACGGGGCTGCTGGAGCTGGAGTGGCCGCACGGGCCTCCCCATCTTTGTTCGCACCTGACTGGCCGGCAGGCGCGCTGGTAGCCGCAAGGGGGTTACGGGGACTCGACTTGGTGGTGCTTGCAGCCGTAGCAGAAGCAGGCTTGGCCGCCGCCGCGACGGACGGTCCCTTGGTGGTTCTGGAGCCACCATCATTCGCCGCCTGAGCAGTTGGCACCTCCTTGTCGGTCACGCCTTTCCCACCGCTCGCCTGAGGATGGGTTTGCTCGGCGACCAAAGGCGGGCCAGTCGGACCAACTACGTTAGCGGCAACCCCGTCGGCACGGCCACCCTCTGCCCCCCCGCTTCCGCCTCCCTTGCTGTGCGACGTCCTTACCACCTTCCACCCCGCCTTCGTCTTCAGCTGGTCGACCACGCTCTGTGCAGCAGGCTTCGACCCGCGGCTCCCGTCCGCTCCCTTGCTCCGCTTCGAGCTCTCCTTGTCGTCTCCGTCGCCCGTCCTCTTATGGCCCTGCTTGTCGGCCGTCTTCCTTTGCGCGTTATCGGCGTCATTGGCCGAAGGCGACGACCCATGTCGACCAGGCGCCACAGTGCCGATCATCTCGGTCATCATCTTCATCCCGGAAGCAACGAAAGACTGCTGGGTGGCCTCCGTCACCGCCTTCATGATGTCGGCCTTGAACGACTTCAAGAGCTCTTCCGGGATGGCGGGCGGCGTGGGATGAGGCGGTGGCGGCGGCGGCACGGCGAGCCTGGAGGTCACAGCGGTGGCGATGTTGACCTGCGCGGAGGCAAGGTGGTTCGATACGTACTCTTCCAACCCCTTCTTTGCATCGCCCACCACCGAATCTACGTGGTCGGCCAAGGCGGAGACCGCTAACGCGCGTGAATACGCGACACGACCCTCCGGATTGTCGAAGTCCTCCAACCACTCCGTCGCCTGTTCCGCGAAGGTCTTCATCGACATCCACGCTTCGTCGAAGCTGCCGGTGATGTTGCCCGTGATGGTCTTCGACATGGCCTCCATCGCGTTTCGCAGCTGTTCCGCCGCATACTTCTCGGTGTCGTCGACCTGCTCGGCCAACCCTTTCACGTGGTCGACGAGTCCATGTACCCCAACAAAAAACCTGTCCAGCCGAGCCCGCTCCGCATCGAGCAACGTCGCCAGCCGAGCGTTCTCCGCCCGCAACAACCAGTTCTCCCGTCGCAGCTCCTCAACATCATCCAGTTCAGGGCCCTGCCGACCACGTGCTTCCCCGGACTCCTGCACGCCCATGTTGTTCGCCCCTTCGCCGGCGTCGACCGACACCTTCCCACCTCCCTCGCAGGCCCCCTCCTCCTGGCCCTTTCCTGTCGTTGCCTCCACGCCGACCTCGCCCTTCTCCTTCCCCACATCTGCCGACCTCCCGTGATCCGCCGACCCTGCATTTCCCGCATCGTCATCCTTCTCTTCCTCCTTCCCCTGATCCGCCGACCCCACCTCCTCTTCCGCCGCTCCCGCCTCAACCGTACCCTCTATATACTCCACCACGAGCTCCACCTCTTCATCCCCCCCCTCCTCATCCTTCCCTCCCTCCCCCTTCTTACCATTCTCGTCCTTCTCCTCCTCCTCCTCCTCCTCCTCCTCCTCCTCCTCCTCCTCCTCCTCCTCCTCCTCCTCCTCCTCCTCCTCCTCCTCCTCCTCCTCCTCCTCCTCGACCTTACGCTTCACCGCCTCGTCCTCCTCCTCCGACTCCGACTCTGACTCCGACTCCGACGACGACGACTCCGTTTCCAACCTTCCTGCACCTGCCTCTGCGTCGCCTCCTCCTCCACCGTTTCCACCTTCCCCATGCACCCTCGCGTTCCCCTGATGCTGGGCGGCAACTGCACCTTGGGGCGCCTTCTGTCCTTCCGCGCCGTCGTCATCAATGGCACTGTCGGCGGGTCCGGCGGCTTGAGAAGTCGGCGCCGCAGTGCGTTTTACGGCAATGACCTTGCCGACGTACTCAACCATGCTGTTGTAGAATTCCACTACTATAGCAGCTTGATAGAGCTCAGAAGCACGATTCCAACGCACCAAAGATTGCAGGAAACGGTCCACTATAGCCAGAGTTACACACAAACATAGCAGTGATAATGACTTGGTTAATTTCTGGTTTGTGCTCTCTGGTTTTATACTAGGACGCAATACAAAATAAAAGCACACAAGAAAGTGTCGACCCGGGTCGCACGTTGAATTTCGTTGACGCGAAATTCGGAGCCTTGAATTTCGCCGAGCGAATTCCATTGACTGGAATTCCGTAGACGAGAATTTCCGCGACAAGAATTCCGTCGACCACCGACTGTAACTCCCGTGCGAATTCCGTTGACCACCGACACTTCGCTGCCGAGTTTCAAACCGAACGCGACCCGAGATCGATTTCGCCAAACTGTCCCCAATCTGTCCCCAAACTGTCCCCAATCTGTCCTGACAAGACACTTTCGGGACACTTGAATCGAAAGGTCTCCAGTTCGAAACTCGTGTGCACCATAACCAGCTCCTTAGCAGAAACTGTCCCGAATCTGTCCTGAGACACTTTCAGGACAGATTTGAAGGTCACGAGTTCGAATCCCAGCGCAGACATTTTGTTGCTCATGGCAGCATTTCCTTCTAACACGCCCCCTTGCTGTCAGGAGCACGCTGGACCAGCCCGGCTGCTGCACAGCATCGGTTGAAGGCTGCCTTGTCGAGCCGCTTCGTGAAGAAGTCCGCGGGCTGCGCCGTTGTAGGGATGTGCTGCACCTCCAACTTCTTCATGCGCACCATGTCCTGTAGCCACATGTGGCGACGGTCCACATGCTTCATGCGCCCCTGCAGCCCGCCCGCCTGGCTGAGCTGCACCGCTAACATGTTGTCGACGTACAGGGTGGTGGGGACACCCTTCTTGAGCAGTTGAAACTCCCACAGCAGGAACCTTAGCTTGCGCCCCTCCTTTCCCGCTTCCACCGCAGCCACAAGCTCGCTCTCGGTGGAGGAAAGTTTGGTTGCACCCTGTAGCTTCTTGGCCTGCCATGAAACGGCAGCTCCGCCAAGCTTGAAGAGGTAGCCTCCCGTGGACGACCGGTTCTCCTTGTCGCCTGCATCATCCGCATCCGCATACCCTACGAGAGTCAAACTCTCTGGTCCTCCCTTGAACAGCAGCCCCATGTCCGGTGAGGCAGCCCAGTAGGAGAGTGTGCGGAAGAGCTCATGCCAATGCGCATCCGTCCTCAGGTGTGCACCTGCTGCAAGGCGGTCGGTCATGCTGCGATCGGCAAACAGCTCAGCATCCTCCATGACAAAGCTGGTAGAGGAGAGAGGGGTGATCGGCTGCTTCTTCGGTGGCGCCCCCTTGAAGAACCGCTGCTGCACCTTCGCCACATATGGATTCTCGTGCAGGAGGAGTGTCTTGTTGGGGCGGTCGCGCACAATCTGCAGACCAAGATAGCCTTCCGTGGATGATATGTATTCCACCACGAGGAGACCTTTGTCCACCACCTTGCCTTCAGGTCCGGTCAAGGTTACTCCGAGGTTGATGATGACGCTCCCCAATCCCCCTTCCTCCTTATCAACCTCATACAAGTACTCCACATCATAGTAGATGTCCGTGCCATAAGCACCTCGAGCAAGGAATGCAATGCCGTACATGTTGTTGCCATCAACCGCATCCGAGGCCGTCATGGTGGATGCGGGAAGCCGAACAGGTGGCATACCCTTGTTGGACCTGCTAGAATGACATGGGGGTGGGGGAGTGGGCTGGAGGGGCGGAACCGTGGGTATGGGGTCCTTCCCATGGGTTGCCGCCGATTTCAGGTCCGTTGCCTCTCCTTCCTTGTCTTCATCAGCTGCACGACGTTCATCCACAGAGGGACCAACCTCTGGTCCCACAGGTGCCAAGCCAGCAGCTAAGGATGGACAGAGAGCTGGTGGAGCCATGGTTGCGTTGCTGCCCGCAGGGTCAACTGAACGATCAAACGGTTGTTCGCCCCCTTGCACGGACGGCACTGTGATTATGATGACGGTACGTGACGGCGGTTGATTCTGCCCAGGGCCATGGACCATCCCAAGAACCTCCCCCTCTCGCTCGTCAGGCAGCGGAAGCGTTTGACGAGTGAGTTTGGCTTCATGGCAGGAAGTGCACGGCATATCCTCACCTCCTTTCTCCAGGTCCATACCGAACACGCCACCGCTCGTGGCTGTCCGCTTCACCGCATCGAAGTGGACGTGTCCAAGGCGAGCGTGCCACAGGTTGGGCGTTGCCTTGGAGCCCACCGTGTACGTCTTGAGGCTGGCCGCTCCATCTTTAGCTTCCGGCTTGCTTGTTGCCACATCAGCAATCTCCTTCGCTGTGCCGTTGCTTGCCGTTGCAGCCGCCGTGCCGTTGCATGCCGATGCAGCCCCTGTGCCGTTGCTCGCCGCTCCTCCCGCCACATCGCGGATAGGGTGGTCGCAGTCGGCCAGCCTGACCTCCACCACTGCTTGTGATGGCGGCGCCCCGTCCCACTTCCTACCGGGACGCCCCAGCTCGGCCTGGACAACCGTGCGGAAGAACCTGAAGCACCGCAGTGGAGGGAGGCGGTCAGCGTGTGATACCCTGTATCGCCGACTAACAAGAGGGACATCGACGACTATTCGGCACTTACTTTAGCACGCGGACGGCCTCGTCGCGGTGATACCCTTTACCTGTTTGCGGGTCGATGTGCCGGATTGAGGTCCTGCACACCTGTCCCTCAGCCTTCAACAGATCTCCAGGGTATAGGATGGCAATGACGCTGCAGTGCGTTCCTGGAAGCGGACCGAGGCTGCACATGCAATTTACGACGGCGTCGATCACAACATTACGCGATGTCGCGACAACAAAACACGACAACTGCTCAACGGTGAAACAGCTCACGTCGTTCGTAACGGGATAGCGGCGATGTCGGCGTCGAATACCGCAGCAAAGCATGAATGGTCGGCCTCCTTCATGGCCGATCGAAGCGGGCCGACTCCGATTACCCACAAATGCTGGTTGTCCATCCCAAGTCGGGACCACGCGAACCTGACGGCACGATTGGGCAAGGAGGTTGATACAAGGGCGGGTGAGCAAACGCCGAAAAGTACAAAGGCCGACTGCATGTGGTCGACGCTTCCTGAGGTGGCCGACGTTCCTGGAGGGGGTCTTTGTCTAATACCGCGCACGCCGACATAAATCTGAAGGTCGCGGCGCCGACATCAACACTAACCCTATCTAGTGTCGGCGCCGACATCTATCCAACTCGACTACTCGAGTCCTACCTGATGCCGAAACCCAAACATCGGTCGTTGAACTCTTTCTTGTGGTTGCGAAGAACTAAGAAATCGTCCCACTCTAGAGTGAAGCTGAGACCACGACCCATTGAGTGACGAAGAGGGAAGTCAGCCGAAGTCGGCGCCGAATTATCGGCGTCGGGGCTAGGGTCCATGTCGACTAAGGGGAAACTAGGGACGATAGCACAGAGCAACGAAACGAGAGAAAAAGGAGAAAAGGAGGAGCGAAACGAGATGCGGAAAATGAGGAGCGAGGCCACCATCCACGAAGAAAAGGAGGTGGTGGCCCACCGCATCCCCGTTCAGCGTCGCCCAAGGGTGTGGGGCCTGGCTCGGCAGGGCTCTGAGGGCGCATGCGCAAGTGGAACAGGTGGTCCGACTCCGCCTCGGCAGGGCGTCGACCTCGCGTCCATTGGCCCAGGTCAGCGAGGGGACGCAATTTCGCATGCGCGCGGAGCGTCCATTCGCACGACACGTGTCGAATTCGTATCGGGTAGCGAACCCGTTCCCCGCGATGCGGGCCTCTTTTTTTTTTTCGCTCGCCACGAAATATCGCATGCGCCCGATGCGAAACCACGAGCGAACATGTGGCGTCACCGCAACGGGTCGCGAAATTGTCGAGTGTCTCGAGGGGCCCCCGAATTTTCGCCCGGCCCTCGCCTGCCCGTCCGGGCAGGCCGCAATGGGTTACTAGGACCTCGCGGGCAGGTGGCATGTGTGGGCTGCCTTCGCAGGAGGGTAACTTTCCCACGCGCGAGGTGTCGCCAGTTCGCCGACCCCACCCGGTAACGTGGGTCGCTGTTCACTTTCGGAGCGGGGCTGTGGGGCGGCGGTCGTGCGCTCGGCCCAGCCCTGGGCCAGGCTGGCGGGCCCGCACGCGCGTCAGTCGCCCGCCTCGTCAGGCCCGGCTCCGACGACCCCCCTCGACGACACAGGCAACTCGGCTCCGACGACCGAATTCCGATGAGGTGTTCGGGAATAGGTGGTGTAAGGACTTCAGTGGGTTTCAGAACAGGACGGCAAAATGACATTTTTGAAAGCTAAAGAGAAAGTTTGTCGATGATGGGACAAGAAAAGGACTATTCTGTAGCAAGGACAGGCTGCCCTTTGTACAGTGCACAACTTTCAAGGCTCCCAAACCAAACCAAACCGGAGCCGCTGTGGTGTTAGGTTTTGGTCCTGAAATTGGTTTGTTTTGGTTAGGGTTCCCAGGTTTGGACTTCGGTTAGAAACCACCGACGGCAGGTTTGCGTGGCGGGCAGCAAGTACCAGGACAAGCTGCCTTGACATGTTCGGTAGAGAGAATGCGGCTCCACTCTCGTTCGTTGTGATTCAAGAACCATTTTATTAACTTTTCATAATAAGAACAGACTTCTAATGTCATAGTAGCACTCTTGCAAGAACGTTATAATGCAAACCATTCATCTTCTCCAAACGCATCTTTAATTCTTCTATGTTTGTCAGCGATTTTGGTGAATCGGATTTTGACAAATAGGGATCTAGATTGCACTCGTTGACACATCTTTGCGTGCCAACATGAGGCGTTGACTGGTCACAGTACCAAGCGAGATAGGGATGTTTAATATGCAGACTCCCTAACTGGGTAAACACAAAGAGGAGGGAGAGAGTCCGAAGTTAGTGGTTCCTTCCCAAAACATATGTAGGGGAAAGAGGAGGGGGGGAGGCACAAGTGATCTCTGGACCTTGGCCATATGGCCCTCAGTTCTCGGCCTAGCAGCCTGCTATCAGCCCACTACTCAGGCTTACGGTAGGTAGGTTCTACATGTACGACAAAAACCTCAGTACCTCCTACACTGCGGGGCACGATACCATTGCACTTGCCATTCAAGTACTACAAACCTTGTCCAATGCCGTACTCCAAATATTTAGTACCAAATATGCACTTATATATGTAGATATATATACAAGTTTCATCATGTACATATCCTACTGAAGGCCAGACTGAACTAGTACCCTTGCCAATACTGTACCAGCAAACAGACGCATTTACAGCGAACCTGATGGAATGGGATAGATTCGCGGTGAGCGGCAGGAGAAACTACACGCACGGAGCCCCTGAACTGAAGACGCATGCACATGTGAGTGCTTACCGGTATACGGTAGTGCATGCTTTGAGTGCCTCAAAACGAGCCCCTGAAGACGCATGCACCTGTGAGTGTTTATTATACGGTAGTGCATGCGATGTGACGTGCACGGGTGAGGGCATCACTCCGCTTCTGATACAGGCATGGCGGAAGAAGGAGGATATACTGCTGGATTTGCTGCCAAGGCTGCTTGGCTGGTATCTGACGAAGCTGCCTGCTGCGTCGTTCTGAGTGCTGGCTTGCTGTAAGCGAGGATCTGAGCGAGCAGCACCCCGTGAGCAATGAAGCCAGCCGAGCTTGCTATCACCACTGCGAGCGGGCAAGTGGAGAAGGGAGAGAGAGTGAGACGATCATGCTTTGACTGTTGACTTGCTGTAAGCGAGGATCTGAGCCAGCAGCACCCCGTGAACCAGGAAGCCAGCCATGCTCGCTATCACCACTGCGAGCGGACAAGTGTAAAGGGTAGAGACAGTCAGACAGCCCAGCTGTCGGTTGGTTGCTATGTGAATGACAACGCCCCACGAGCAACGAAAATTAGCAATGCTCAATACCACCATTGCGTTGCAAAACCTTCTGCTGATTTAAGTCGAATAAAGTTTTTGACCCTGAAAACTTACTGCTGAAAGGCGCTCTCTCTTGGATGCTGGTGAAGAATCGGGCTGAGAGTGGCAGACACAATAGCAGAGCGGGAAGAGAGTTGGTAGATGCACAAAGACGACGAGAAAAGATAAGCTGATAACATATGAACATACGAAGAGAAGGAGTATGTACATATAAGCTCTCTTATGGTATGAGAGAGCATTTTTCTAAAAAAACGCAGTTTGTAATCCCTCTAGCTTGCACAGACGAGGAAAACGGAGGCACAGTGCAATGTACGCACCCGCACACCCTGCTGCGCTCATGGCACTGGTGGTGAGACTCAGCTGACCCGTGCTGGATGCCTGAGAAGGGAAGGCAGGAGTGGGGGGGAGGGTAGGAGGGTTACCAGAGAAAAGAGGTATCTGGAGGGTCTGATACCCATGCACACAATGCTGCGCTCATGGCACTGGTGGTGAGCGAAAGCGGACCCGTGCTGGATGACTGAGAGGGGCAAGCAGGAGTTGGGAGGAATACAAGAGAAGGGAGGTATGCGGGAAGGAAGGTTATCCTGCTATCCTGCACACCCTGCTGCGCTCATGGCACTGGTGGTGAGCGACAGCTGACCCGTGCTGGATGACTGAGAGGGGCAAACACGAGGGGGGAGGAGGGGGGTCGAGGGTTACAGGAGGAGAGAGGTATCTGGAGGGAAGGATGTCTTGACTATTTTGCTACCATGCACAGTCATGGCAGTGGTGGTAACAAGGTGGTGATGAGGAAAGGTATGTGAGGTGAACGCAGATCCGAAAACAGATGAACTGGACCAGTATGCAAGGAATCGTAAGCAACCCATTTGAGAGTAATAAGCTGATACGCGTTACAAGCAGACTCACTACAAAGTTTTGCCACATCTGCGGTAGTCTCGAGAGTGTGAAGAGAGCTGTTTGCCCGTTCTGCGTGTCACGGAATGCGTGCAAGAGAGAGAGGTGAGTGAAATTAGAGCAGAAGGGAGGGGACGTAGAAGGTTCATCAGAAATGCAAGGAAAGGAAAAGAGGTGAGAGCGGAACGAGTTTAGAGGGAAGTTTGCCCATTCTGCATATCTCGAAACGGGTGGAGAGAGAGAATAAGGCAAATGAAAGAGGATGAATCGGATAAAAGCTGCATGAATTGGTTGGAGAGCTCAAACGGATTGGAGGTTGATCCTCACACCATCCACGTCTAGTAGGCTCACAGATACGACTCACATAGAGTGCTTCGAAAGTGACACAGATATGACTCGCATCACGCAGTAGACATTGCTCCTAACGCGGATTGGAGGTTGGTCCTCACGCCATCCACGTCTGGTAGGCTCACAGATACGACTCACATAGAGAGATTTTGAGTCCAGTCCACTCAAAAGTTGCCTAGAGATTGCTCCTCACTCGATCTACGTATAGTACGCACACACATATGACTCACATAGAGCGCTTCGAACCAGCCGGGGCGCATGGCTGGCGACATGAGGAGCGCCACCATGCCCATGTAGCTGATGGGGTGGCGGGGAAGAGGGGGGGAGATAATTGAAGGGGGGGAGACAGAGGGAAGGAGGAGAAAGGTTGAGAAACGGGGATAAGGGGGGGGTGGGGGAGTGGGGGGAAAGATCTAGAGGGAGCGAAAGGAAGATGAAGGGTGAAGACATATTATGTAGAGTGCGTGCTAAGACGAACACGTTGGCCTGTGCTTTAACAGAATCCTAGAATACTTAACAGACGCTTCAAGTCTTGGGCATTCCCAGCCAACGTTTCAGGACAGAATATTGAATTACTTAACGAGCGGTTCACTCGCGCATGCCAGCCCTCGGGAATCTCTGGCAGCCCAGTATTGGGAAGTGGTGGTAAATGAACAGCATGGAGAATCGTGCTTGGAAGTAGACTTAGGGTGTGTTTAGACGTACATGCCGGTCCTTAAATATCTCTGGCGGCCCAGCCGTGGGGAATAGTAATAAATCAGCAGCATGAGAATGAGGGCTGCAGAGAAACACAAGGGAAGGAGAAGGATGGGAACAGATGTAAAGGGAAAAGTTAATAACGGGTAACGGGTGTATGGAGAAGCGGCAGAAGCCGAGCAAGCGAAAATCGACAAAGAATCGACGCAGTCATAGATTTCACAAAAAAAACAGAAACAAAACTGGAACTCGCTCGTTATAAGCACACCAAGCGAGTCTCACATTGGAGGACAAGAAAGAAGACCTCGTTACAATCACACTGATGACTCACACTGGAGAACGAGGAAAAAGAGCTCGCCATAAGCACTGAAGGGTACGCGGCGCGTCCAGCAGAAGAGCAGCGAGACAGTGTAGCCCACACACTCCATCTCAAACGACGGCACACTCAACCCCTCGATGCTGTTGCTCCGCAGTATGCGGATGATCTGCATGCAGGAGAGTGGTACAGATCAATACAGCGGTTATTGTTACGGTGAAGAACGGTGTAGGCCAGGCACTTCGGCTCAAACGACGGCGCGCTCAACCCCTCGATGCTGTTTCTCTGACCGATCCGCAAGAACGCGGTGGACAGAAATTGAGACATTTCAGGATGAGACATTTCACAGCAATTAAGATCAGCACCTGAGGAAGCTTCAGCACCGTCGATGCGGTGACTATGATGTAACCAATCAATTTCGCCAATATCGTCAAGAACCATTCGCTGCTGAGGAGTCGCCAGTTAGCCCTGACGCCTGCTGCCACCGCTGCGACCCCCACCAGCGCGACGACGAATAACGCCTTGGTGTTAACCGTTGCGGTTTCACTGGGCGAAGAGTCCAGATCGCTGGTTGCGGAGATCGCGGATTGTGCTTGACAGCTGATTACGCGGCGGTGACTCGGGTTATCGCTAACGGGATGGACCTCGTGATTTGGGGGTGGCGAATATTTCAGAGACGCGTAACACTGCTGCATCGGTTCATGATGCTTGCTGTAGCTCGTAGGCCGAATTATGGAGCCATTGACTCGAGAAGGGCGAGCGAGAAGCAATGAATTCGTGTAACGAGCATTACACACGGAAGAACTTTGAGACCGTCGAAGAGGCATCGTGTTACTAGTGATGCTACCGACGCCTCCGCGCAAAGCGGCGACAGCCATGGCGGAACTTTAACGCTTAATAGAGAGGCAATGGCGGTGAAGTATCTGAGCAAGCAATTTCGCACAGAAAACGTCTAGGAAAACAGAGAGTTATGGTGGCAGAAGTAAGATTAGAGGAATAATTCTTCGTGAGAGAAGCTTCGTGCTGAAAGGGGCAGCGTTGGCGATATCAAGAAAGAGCTGTGCGAAGCAGGTTACCGGATGAGTTAGAAATTCGTGATGCGTTTGGAAGGCCGAGTAGGCGAAGGGGGCATCGCGATTCGCGACGAAAGGGATTTCTCATTTCTGACATCCCTCGTGACAACAATGATGCGAATGTGTGTGCAACGGACCGAATTTTTTTCACTTGCGCGCCGAGCGTTTTCTTCTGGAGCTTCAGCTGAGCTGGTCATACGAGCTGGCACTTCTAACCAATTGCTCTTTAGCAACGATGATGACCAACCAATCGTAAGCTTGTATTTGTCACGTGACTCAAATCTCGAGACGCCTCGAAGTTTCATTTGTGCTTGACAAGATACCTTTCCAGCAATGCTGCAGCAGTGCACACAAGATTTCGACTTGATAGAGAACGTAATGTGGACGTCAAGCTGTACAGAAGCTCCTCACTGCACCATATGAAAACATAATAATTGTATAGATGTGATATTTACAACCTTATTAGAATCAAGAATTTAGCGAAAACAGACTTCATATATTTGTCGATCGAGATATTTCGAGTGTCAAGAGATTGCAAAGTATTTCATTTTATGTTCAGGATAAGTGGTAAGGATAACCTGCATTGTTTAGAGGCTTTCTAGCTTCACCGCTTTGAATCGCGCTTCTCACAAGCCTGTACATTTCGTCCATAAATAGTCCACGAACTTTCGGGTCCTGCCCTGAGGCCAGTTACCGTACTGTAACTGTAATATAACCTCTTGAAAACTAGACGAACCGAATGAGGTAGGGGTTGTCCGTGACGGGTAGGCAAGGCCGTGCGACGGATGTCGCTCGCACGTCGTCACGTTCCTCGTACAGCGGAATTTTCAAGCTGGGAAACCCCTGGAAATTGTGGGACCGACATGGCAGGTGGTGGCCAGACTTTTGCTGTACGGGAAAGGCTTTTGTTGCCAGGTAGGAATGGGATGGGGCGAGGGGCGAGGGGATAGTGCCATAAGAGCTTGAAAGTTCAACCTAATCGTATATCAGCATGTACACTTTCAAGCATGTAGTTTATGATAACCTAGAAGTGACACGAGTGCTGCCTACCTCCCTGGCAGTCAACAAAGAGAACAGGGGTACCGAAGGATGAGCGAAAATACCAAACCTGTCAGAACAGAAGTGTTCCACTTTTAGGGCTTGAAGTCAAGGTATTCGGGGAAACATGTCGGTCCAACCCGATGTCACTCCAAGGTCAGTAAGGCTGGTGCAGGTGACGAAGCCAGCCCTCCCTGAATTCCATACCACCGCGGCAGCAACAACACATTTTCAATGCAAGTCACCATGGCTCCAGCTTTACAGCTCCACTGTGCTGTAACTGCTCCTAAAGTCCTGGCATCCTCTTGGTGCAAATACGTGCATCAAGCCTTATGCCATCCATAAGAGCGCCATGGCAGAATCTTGGAAATCTTGGCGGGGGGTTTTACCGTTCCTCCTAGGAGCCCTCGCACCCATATCAGAATTTCAAAACCAATGGCGCTCAACCCTAATAACCTTAGTCGGCGCACGGGAACTACGTTCTTGTTGCAGGTTACTCTAAGCAAGGACCATTCTTCCGCTTCCACGGGCTTGCCGACGTGAACGGCGGGAGCTACCACGAAACTAGTCTTGGACATCGTACTATGGCGCGGCAGTTGGCGTCCGCGCAACAGGTACTGCACTCAGGTGACGCCATGGAGAAACTCACGTTCGCAGCGTTGACGTCAGCTCCAGACGAAGCAGCTTTCGCCTTTCCTCAGGAAAATTCGGCGGATCAACGGCTTAGCCGCGACGCCGCTTCAACAGTAACTAACCCAACTCAATTCCACGACTCTTCTGCGAGTTCTTCCCATCACCGTAGATCGCGGAGCGGATGCGACGCGACCTTGCTCTGGAACAGCAGCTGCCGATGGTCCACGAAGGGCGTAAGCCGCGGAACAGGAGTTACGATCAATGCTAACATCGACGATAGTAGTGGCGTGGGGAGACCGCATCTAAAGACGCCGTTTAATGGAGGAGAAACCCTATTTGGCCATGTCAGCAGCTTGAAGCAATGCGCTAGTCCTCCCAAATCAACTGCCGCACAGCCAGCGCCGGTGAGGAGTCACAGGAGGTACCATTCGATATGTGAGATTGACGGATCTCTGTTTGAAGACTTCAGCAAAACCATGAAATGAGGTGCGGGCTCCTAGGAATGGTTAGGAAAGGAAATGCATATTATTTTGCCTTCGGAGTTTTGTAGGTTACATGTCAGTGTAGCAGCGTGTAGGTAAATGTGTAGCTTGTATCTGTATTCGGTTTCCTGTGTAAGCTGTACATCCTCGAACTACCTTCAGCTTCTTGAAAGTTCACTTGCAGACCTCCCTCCCACAGTCACAAGTTCAGGATGTTGCAAGTTTCTTGGGGCTTCTAGAATGGGCCTGCTGGCGAGTGATCCGACGAATGGCGAAACGGAAGTGAAGTCCGCGAGTAACCCTCAGTGTCTTCGTCTTTGCAGTTCCCAGTTCAAAGTTTTGCTGAAGTAACCCGGGTTTCACAGTCCTCTTCAATCTGTCTTTAGTGTGACCAGTCGAGCAAATTCCCATTTTCAAGAAATCTCATCTCGAGGGATTTGAAGGCAAGATACAGAAAATAGCAGCTTGAAAATGCATAGACCCACAGTGAGGGGTCAAAATTCTGTTTCGCAGTCGGTCAAGCTTTGCCACTAGGTTGTTGTCTGGAGCGATCGTACCACCCGCAGCACTGCAGTATTGAAGTGTGCAATTGAAACTTCCGTACAGCGGGAAGAAAACCTGTTTTGGGAAGTTTGACACGAAACAAAATGACCCTCGAATGCACAACTTCGGAACGCGACACTGAATGCTCCCTGAACCAAGCAAAAAGCGGATCTCTTGGTCCTTCGTCACCTAAATTATGTCTGCCATTCACACAGCACGACAAACGAGCCTTAGCTGTGACAACTCCCTCAGGACGCAATGGCGGATTCTTCCCTGCCTTCTAGCTGGCATACTGTACATTCACAAGCATGCGATTCTCTGTGTCCTTTCCCTCACATCCCTTAAGGGTTGGACATAGCGCGGATGGAGGAACCTTGAGGGCCGACCAGCAACCAACACTGCGACGTACACGTATGTATCTGCGCCTAAAAGGGTGTTCAAAGTACATGTTTCCTACGTCGGATGCTCGACATAGGAATGTCGGATGCCATCGCTCCATTCGCTACTCCAATGCTGCAGTATATGTCGGTGCGAGCACATGACGAGCGGCCTTCCCGCGGCTGGCATAACAGGCCTGTGTGACAGCTGTCGTAACGTGTATACGACAGCAGTTGATGCGCATGCTAACAGCAGTCAGCAGGAAGTCACACTGTGGCTCAGGTCGAGAAGCAGTACCTATCATCACCAAACAGTGGTTCACTTTGATTCGACATACCTCCTTCACCGTCACGCATGATATAAAAGGCAGCCATTCTTTCGTAACTCTCATTCCACTTCTCGTAGGCATTCGAGAGACTTCAAAGCTTTCTGCCATCTCCTGCAGTGTCACTCAGCTCCTCAGCGACAGCAAATCTCGTCTCGTTCTAGCTTTTTCCCAGGATTGAAGCCTCGCCTTCGCTGGTACTCGCGAACCATCGCGAATTCGCTCGACCTTCCAAGCGACAGCTTCCCCACTGGCCTCTGACGACAAATTCATGGCGCAATCGGCGTTCGCACGACAGCCTTCACCCGCACCGCACGTCATGGAGCCAATCAGCTTCGCAATGACTCCCCCTGCCACTTCGGACAACTTCGCAACCGTTCCAGTCCCGCTCTGCGAAAACTCTTCAGAGTCGCCCCCCGCAGTTACCAACGACTCTCATCTTTCGCAACTAAGTACCGCTGGCACCAGCACCGGCACAGATCTGATTCAGTCCCTCCCGCGGAGGCGTCCGTATCACCGTCGATCTCAGAGCGTGTCCGATGTGACGTCACTCTGGAGTATCAGCGGCCCTTGGTCTACGAAGCCTGGAATCGCCCGCGGTTCGGATCTCACTCTTGATGTTACTGATTTTGCGTGTGGTGACAGTACCACCCCCAGAATCGGAGGTTGCAAATCCCTGGAACATTTTCCGTCGCCGTCTCCG